AAGTAAGTAACTTCGGTTTATTAATGCACGGTCGTGGTTAATAAACTTAAGAGGGATTAATTTTGTTGGTTAAACCGAAACCGTTGTGTTGAGGTTATCAATCTCAATTGATTTCATCAAGGAGTTAAAAGATTAAATGCTACTATCAAGTCGGTATATGGCGTTGTTCTATACTTGACTAATAGTAAGAGTTATTAATGAACGGTCGTTGTTAATAACTATCCTCGATGAATTGGATATACTCCTCGATTGAGTATTCGAGAGGAGATAAGTTATAGATATAACAACGATCGACTAAAATATATCAACAAGTGTAAAGTAGCAATATCATGTCCCTTTTATCTTTGAATTAAACCACATAACTCGTTCATCTTCGTGTTTAATTTTAATCAAATCATTCAACAATCAAAACCCCCCTTTATTTACTATTTATATAAAAAGAAAGTTATTCCTTTCTCTGTGGATACGAACTCTACTTCACCTATACTACGTATAAGTGTTAGTATCGATTTATTTTGAGTGCACGCACGACAAAGTGCACGTCAGTGACGTGCGTGTAAGTGGCAAAGCAGGATAAGATAAAAGCACCCTGGGAAAGCATGCATCAATGACACTGTTGTGTTGCGATGTAGCCAGAGCAAGCGTAAGCTACTAACAACTTTAGTAGCCATGGCCAAATATAAGGCGTCAGCCGCAAACCGGGAGGCATAGGTGAACTTCTTCAACTTCATGAAATCAGATGAAACCAATTTGTACGTACATGCAATGTTTATGTGTGAAGCTCAAAAGTGCAAGGTGACTCATGCTCAGGTGTATATGATTCTATGTATTTTTTTCTCTTGCATTCCGGCTGCATTTGGACAACTGTATTTTAACATCTTAATAGCTACTACGTTTAATTTCAACTTCGTGAAATCAGATGGAGTGTTGTTTACGTTTAATAAACCATATAGCACATTCATTTGAAATTAAATTCCGTAAAAAAATTGATATATACATAAGAAAATTTGTGTGAATTGAAAGTGAATTACAATATGTGGCTATGCATTTTAATTTATATAAATATGAAACATTAACTTTAACTTTAACTTTTATAATAATTTTATTTAACTTGATATACCCAATTTTCTCAATTTAAAACAACAACAATAACAAAGGTAGAGAGAAGATGAAAGTAGTTGTGTAAAGTGTAATAAGGTACTCAAGTTACATTTTGTGAACACCCAAGTATATAAAATGTGTATTGGGCTATATAATGTTGTGTCTGGATGTTAATGAATAATTAGTTCACCTAGATTTAGAGGAATATTAAAATATAAAGTCATTTATCTAAATAGGGGTAAAACATGACAAAAAATTCAAATAAGAGTAGAGGTTTGAAAATTCCCAAAATAGACTTTTTTCTTATTGGACCAACACACCCTGGCCACCACTATAATACAATGATAATATAGTTAAATGAAAAAGTTCATTTATAGCATATATATTACATGTAGATCATAATGCTCAATTGCATGGATCTAATATTCAATTGTGTTACTCAATTGCGATTCACTTATTTATTTTAACATAAAATATTCAGTTGTAACGTGTGCACGGTACAACTGGTTGTACGTACAGTGTATGATTTATTATTGTTGTTGTTATTATTATTATTATTATTATTATTATTATTATTATTATCGTTGTTGTTATTATTTATTATTATTATTATTATTATTATTATTATTATTATTATTATTATTATTATTATTATTATTATTATTCACTTATTTATACATTGTCTTTATGTTAAATTACATTATATTAATTTTGATTACATTTTGTACCGTGCATCGCACGGGTGAAAATCTAGTATCTCTCAAACATGAGGTGCAAAGTTAAATTACCCCTTAAAAATACTCAACTACTCGCTGATCTTTCTGGAGCAAAACCTGTATATGTATATATAAATATACGCAATCACTTGAACTACTACATCAACCCACTCCACACAATAGGGTTATGTTCTATATAAGCAAGAGGGATAGGAATTAGGGCAACATGTTCTATTGGACTAGATCCTAATATATACGACATCTAATCTTAAATAAATTTCACACTTTTATTTTTAGTAACTTTTTAATATAAAGTTACTCTCATACTTGTTACTTATTTTACACTTACTTTTCTGTTTCCTATTCTTAATGGAAAAATTGACAACAATAGTCCCACCTTTGAACGATATGCTCATAATAATCTCATCTTTACGTAACTTAAGAATAATCTCACATTTGCAGCACATCTTCTCTCATTGGACCCTGATCGGTTGATGACCTACTATACCAAGGATTTTTTCTTTTTTCTTTTTTGGAAATTTTACATAAATAATCTCACATTTAACAAATCTTCTCAAAATAGTCTCATGTTTTATTTTTTCTTTTTCACCCTAAAATTTTCCTTTCTTTATTTTTATCCTTAGACAATTTTTTAATCTTTTTTCCATTCATTTATTTTTATTTATTTTCCATGATTCTTTTTGAACGAAAGTGGCTTATATTAAGATAACAGAATGTAAGCAGGGTACAAATTGACAAAAGCATGTTGTTTGTCGTCCTCTCTTGAATCAGGCATAGAATCCATCACCTCCGTAGAAGCAATTAGATTTGTTGATCCTGTAATGGGTTTAACTGAGCCAATGACAGACAAATCAGACTTCTCATCACTTGTCCTAAGTTCTAGAGTTCTTTTGCTAGGAAATAAAAAAAACACCCAAAACAACATGCAATTCGAAAGAAAAACACAAACAAAATAAAATGGAATTAAAACAGAGTTCACTCATCTTCTTCCAAACCCTAGACTCTCTTGCACTCTATGGCGGCGGCTTAGGAGGGGGACGAGCCTCCAGAAACGCCTGCTCCATGCGGTCCACAACGTCCTCCTCATCGAGCACCAGTTCGATCGTCATCCTCAGTTATGATCTCCAAATCGTCACACTACCCGATCAACTTTTTCAAGCTATCTTGCGTCGGGTCTACCATACCTGCCATACCTGAAACCATTGTTCGCTTCCATGGAAATCGATTGCTTATTGAACGGAGCAGAAAACCACACTCAAATCGGTGGAAGTTAAGCCGCCTATCTTCAGTGGAAAAATAACCCTAGAGAGGGAAAGGTGGCACTTCCATATTTATTATTCAAATTCTCACTTCATTACAAGAGTTTTTTTCAAAAATTTCCTTTCCGGGAATATTTTTTCATTTTTATCTTCCCTTATTTTTATTGAAGTAATTACATATTTATGACAAAAAGAAAGATTATTTCCAAAAATGTGAAGTGATTAGAGTATTAATGAAATCATGATAATTTATGTTAAAATTTTAAACTTAAGTTACCATGAGACTACATTGTAGTAACTATTAATCATATTTGTGTAAATAAGTTCTGTTGGGATATGAGGCCATAGCCCAATACAGACCCAAATATCCTTAAGGGCCCAAGACACACGTGCCGGCAATAAAGATAGCCACTTCGTGGCGGGCATCCAGCGATCCCACATGGCATTGTCGTATGGCTCTTTCCTCTCACTTGGGCAATACTCCTCAGCCCAGTAGCCGCCCAAGTCATAGCTCCCCCAAACAATTGGCAGGAAACTTCAAAGTTGGCGGGGAAGCGCATTTAATGCATCAGATATGTAAGATTTAATGGTTGGGGGTCCTTCCACTTAGGGTTGGTCACGTCACCCCCTCCACCTACTTACTTGTAGTAAAAGCAACATTTATTTCATTGTGAGGTGTTAGCAACATTTTAATCTTAGCATTATACTTGTCTCTTGTTCTCTCGTTAGTATTCAGCTCAATTAACCTAGAGGGTCGAACTGCTGTTCAACGAATTGTTGTAACCGTTCTAAAGACTTGAATATAACTAATTCCACTTTGCTTCTAATTATTTGACCCACCTTGTTATTTCCTCGTCTTGATACTCACTAAATGAACTACCTTAATCAAGGCATTCAGGCTGTGTTGAGCCTTTGGACACTGAGGAATAAACCTCAACAAGTTCTATTTTAGTAATATTTCTTATAAAACCCCATTTTCATGGGGAAAAAAAGAAAAAATTGAAATGTGGAACTGTTTTGAGCAGATTTGTTAAAGGTGAAATTATTCATATAAGGTTTTCAAAGAAAAAGCAAAAAACGTGATACAGTGGGTCATCTCAAGATTCAATGATATAAGATTGGTGCAAAGGTGATCACCATAAGATTCAATGATATAAGATTGGTGCAAAGGTCATCTCAAGATTCAATGATATATTCATGATATTATTCTGAAATTACGTAAAAATGAAAGGCTAAAAGGTCAAATAGGTCCTTGAACTAACTTAAAGTGTTCAATTAGCCCCTTAAATAGGAGGTTCAGCCCGGCCATCGCCAATTGGGGAGGTTCCTGGTGGAATTTTGTGATGAATTTTTTTGAGCATCTTCTTCATTAAGTCTAGTTTACCCATATCAAATTTCAGCTAAAAATTAAATCGGGAAAGCAGTCAAATGATTTTCCGAAATGTGCTGAGCTGTTTAACTGCACAGTTATCTTCAAAAAAATCATTTGACTGCCTTTCCGGTTGAGTTTTTAGCTTAAATTTGGCATGGGTAAACTAGACTTAACGAAGAAGATGCTAAAAAATTTAATCACAAAATTCCACAGAGAACCGCCCCAATTAGCGACGGCCGGGCAGAACCTCCTATATAAGGGGCTAATTGAACACTTTAAGTTAGTTATAGAACCTATTTGACCCACCTTAAAATTAGGAAAATGATGTTTGTACCCACTTTTATACTCACTCATGTTTGTGAAGTTAATTTTTTTTTGTCTGTGAGTTCTTTCACAGACAAAATATGTCTGTGAAGAAATTCAAAGACATATTTTGTCAGTGAACCGAATTCACAGACAAAAGAATAACTTTCAGAGAGGTGGGTATAAGGTGGGTACAAAGTAACGGGTACAAGAGGCATGGTCGTTAAAATTATTACTATAATACCGTTCAAAGGTTTGATTCCTAAAATTGAATTGTACGCTCTATCTCATATGTACTCTGTTAGAAAAGACTTGCGGTTTATCACTTTATCCCCGTCTCTTATCGGCGTCTTCAACACATCGTCAGTTTTCTTCGTCTCTTATCTCTTTGAACCACGCCATAACCCTCACCAGCTCTTATTCGCACCCTAAGCTCGCCCAGCCGCTAATCCAGGTACGTAGTCTTTTCATTTTCTGTGAGTAATGAACTTTGCTCATCTCTTTCTATTATTAATGGCTTAATGCGCCATATTATTGTACTCACTGAGAATACACCAATATAATTCTTTTGGTAATTACTGGGAAGAAGTATAATAAAATTCTTATGAGCTCAAATTCTCTTGGTAATTTACACTGCTAAGTCTGCTCCTACTTAACATATTGAGTATGGTCTTTGTGCTTTTGTCGATAAAGTGGATATATCGCACTCAAAATTCAGAACAAAAAATGTTATATGTAATTAAGATTTATCAGATGAATCAATTAATCTAAAGCAATTGAAATAAAAAAGCATGCCTTTGTTTAAAATTTTTGACTAAAAAATGATAGTGTTTGTGACATGAAGGCAATTCAAATAGTGTTTAATTCAGCTTCCATGAAGCTCCAATTGTAAAAGTTGGGTATATTATTTAACTGGGATTATATTATTATCTCTTTCTTTATAAAATATTACATTGTGTTTGCCTAACGGTTATGTGGCATGGTCTGTTGACTCATACACTTGAAATTAAAGAACCACAAACTAAATTGTCTTTGAATTAGCTGACCTAAAATCTTAATATTTTCAAGTCATGTTTTTTTAGTATATTTGAGGTTGGTCAAAGCATTAGCAGTTTTTAGCACAAAGACTTATATATATGAAAGGTAATACATGCTGTGTCTTTAATTTTTGTATGAGTAGCTTGTGTTCATTATTTGAGTCATAAAGTACTATACTGTAAAGTGTTGTTAATAAGTTAGGGTGCAAACTGCAAATTAAAGTTATATCAAATTGTAGATAATTTTGCTTGACTGCTTGCTGAAATGCATAGTTTCACAATGTTTGTTTATTCATGATATTCGTATATTTCCTTACCCCTTGGGTGGCTCTTTGAAATTGTGATGCTTTAGTGGAATAGGTTTGATTGAAAACATAAAGGGTAGAATTTTAGTGATATTTTAAGTAGCTTTCTCGAAGTATTCTGTGTGATTGTTTCTCGTCCCATCCTTTTCTAAAGACACTTAACAAATAGTCAAGTGATTGAAGGGGCTGCACGTGTGCAGCATTTTTTATTATCAAGTATACACTATAATTGACTTCTATCCATGATAGAATAGGTGCCATATTAGGATAGGAATATATGTGGCTCCATGTTTTTTTATTTTAAAGGCTTGACCAGATAAAATACTCACATATCATCTTATAAAACACACACGATCTATCCAGTAGATAGTTAAGATGCTTATCAAATGATGTGATATATTTTCCGCTAAATTTTAAACTTAGTTAATATTGATTGTATTCATATTGTGCTCAAAACAATAATGAAAAGAAAAGGAGGGCTGAGGCGGTAAGAACGTGAATTTGGGTACTATTTATCGATTGAGTTGGATTTCTGGGTGTCAAAATAGGGTGAAGGCAACATAGGATCTTGGGGAAGGGAGGGAGATATGTTTTACAGAGCCTTTAATGCTCCCAGAAACATCTACATGAAGTAATTCCATTTGGAGGTAAACCTGAAATTCATATCTTTTTCAAGCTAAGGAACACCATATTAGTATAATATACGGAGTATGTGACTTCATGAGCTTGAGCTTGCATGATACTTTTAACATTAAAATGGCAGTAAAGAAAAAGGACACTCTAACAATAATTTTTTAGGTTGAATTGAAATCAGATGCTTCAGATGTAGGGATGTCAAACTCCAGTTTGGGTGTCATATCTTTGGGCTTCTTTATTAGAAGTTCCATAAGTTCTGTAGTTTGGGTATCTAACATTATTGTTAGATTCTTATCAAACGCCTTCTCATATTAAACTTTCTACTTTAACACCGCTGTCTTTATTCAATTATATGCCCAAACCAAATTTCTCTCATAATTTGCCTAAAAATCGTTGTGTACAATGCCTTCCTGTTGCTTGAGAAGGTCGCTACATTTGTTACTCAAAGATAATAAATGTGAAAATTCTGCCATTATGTTCTAGACATCTAGGGCATGTTTAAGTTTGAGAGTCACTTAGCTCCTCTCATATTACTTCCATAGGCATGCTTCTGGATAAATGTGATCGTGATTTCCCTTTTGGAGATTTCCTTAATGATAAATGTGATATTTGTGATTTCCTTTTTGGATATTTCCTTAAAGTTTTATAATTATGCCATTGCACTTAACTCTTTTTGAAGATTTCCTTTTATAACATAAAATGACAGAATATCTCATTCTAAAAGAAAAATGTGATCTGTGATTTTATTATATGTAAAAGATATTGTTATACTCCTTCTCATAGCTTTTTAAATCTCCGTTGTGCAGGATAGAGGTCAACTTCAAACTGGATGCTTATATAAATTTCCTAGCATACGTGGAACCCACACATTGGCAGGTGCTTCATCTGAAATATTGCATTTTTTGCTCATGAGTTTATGTATACTTTCTGTTTCATCATCTCAATATTAAGATGAAATTAGATATCAGTATATCACTATGTCCAATGTTTAGTTGATAGATTCAAGTTTAATTTACTCCAATAGAAACTAGGTCAGATGATTGTACATACATTTGATGGGTAAGTTGGTAGTGTATTAGCTTAATTAACAAACAACATGATGTAGAAAACGTACTGTGATAAAATGATTTCCAGGTTTAACATGTTTTGTAGGACTGTAAAACATAAACCTGGTTTCACTGACAGGGCACACTTGGTTTGGAGAAAGAGAGAGTAATTTTGTATTTCAAAAGAATTATCACAGAAGCAATTAAAGTAACTCACAATATGGAGTTAGATACAATTAAGTTTTATTCACCTTATAAATTATGGATTTGAACTGGTGTATATTGTAATGTGTAAATCATTATATTTAACTTAATTTTCATATGATACATGGCCTGGTGTATGGAAGCTGTTGTTGATTTTATTAAGCCAAACAACTAAATTTGCATTTGGTGATACATGTAGACTCAATATCCTCTTTATATGGTATAAAATCACCAATTGAAATTAAAAAATTAAACCTTTTTAAAGACCATTGTTCTGTATTTTGACATCTTAATTCATTTTTGCATTTGCGTTTACATGTTTATCCTTGTGTGTAGTTCAAGGTTTCAGTCTCTACGAGATATTTATCATCTTTAGAATATACATATTCTTCTCCGTTTCAGTCCTAGACCAGACCAGATCAAACTTGGACAGTTATAAAATACAGAGACTAGACATTTACTAGATCAGTTCAGACCATAAAATTTCAGTCCAAATAAAATGATCCCAAATATGGAAAACCAAAGGAATAGTTCTCTAATTTAATACATGGCCAGTTCAGTTCAGCTTCCTACATAAGCTATAGCTCAGCACAGATTCTGTCTTTGCTGTTTAGCATTCTTATCTTAGGTTTCTTTTTGGAGTGGTTGGAAGAAGGGGAGAGAGGATGGCTTTTCTGCACATGGGTGAAACTGACCTGATGATACACAGCCTTGAATTTGTCTCCTCTCCTTCGGTTCAAGCTTCGGGCTCTATAGTAAGTCTGTGCCTGTGTATACGAAGAAAGAGTCCTATAAATTTATAAACTTGTAAGTAATACATGTTGGGTGAACACTGAACTGCTAAAGATGTCATTCTTTTGTGTGGCGCACAATGTGCAAAGAAAATCATTCTTGTTCTTTGTACACCAAGTATTCTTGGTATATACACTTTGCATCGTTACGTACAATTGATTGATATTCAAGTGTATTGTAACTTCAACATTTAAACCCAACATAGGTAATACATGCTATTTTGCTTTACATAAAAAAACTATAAATGATTTGCATGTTCGGCATTTACCCAATCGCGCAACGCGCGTAGAAAAACTAGTCTTTCGATCAGGGGGAATTTGTTTTTCCGTGGTATAGCTTCTCCATGCTTCATACTCCGTAGTATTTTGCTATGCATAAACTGGTAAAACCGGAATCCATCACTCTTTCGGCTTAGTTTTCTAACTTTTCTTTTCTTTTCAAAGTGATGTATTTTACCATGAGCCCTTGTAACAGTCTGTTTCTTCATCAAAGTTTAGTTGTTTTATAGTTGCAACTGGACATTATATTGCTCCTAATATGGTTTAAGAGTTTTTAAATATTTAAAGAGAAATCTAAATGGTTAAATGTTAGAATGTAGCAAGGCTATGCTCCTAGTTAATTATGTTTAAAATCAAGATTTGTAGATTTAAATACATCATAGTTTATGTTTAACCATTGTTTCTAAATGTTCCTTCTTTTATGATAGCTTTATGATCAATGAACCTCTATTCAAAATTGTGAAGTCTTTTTTGGATGACATAGTTTGTTCCTTTATAGCACTTTCTGTCGACCACATCTGATTTTGCATTGAAAATTATATTCTCTGTACTTCTTTTCTAGGTTGACAGAAACTGTAATAGAAAACACCTATGCACAAGAGCTTCTTTAAATAACGATATCAAATTTATTCCTCAAATGTGTCTCATGGCTTCAACATTCCAGTACGAAGTACGAACATAACAAGAAAATTAAATCAATCATCAAGATTAGTAAATTAAGCTGCAGGTGAGTTTGATTTATTAGTTTATTAGGCAAAAAGTTGCTCCAGGAACACTTCTAGAGATCTGAGACTAACAGAAATATTAAGCTTAGACTGCAAAATTGATAGTATCCCAATTTATGCATTGCTCCCTAGTGCTAAAAGTCTTGGGTTAGGTCTAGTACTTGACCTTAACTCTGTGAGTATCCATCAATTACCATTGAACACCGAAAGGATGGTCAAGGGATTCATATTGGCAATCTATGGTCTTAAAAAGCGCAAGGCTTACACAGTTACGCTACTGATTCCTAGTTATAAGAGATTAGGTGTACACATTGATGTCGCAGAGGCTTATGGGAGCAACTATCAAGGCTTGCCTTGATTTTTTGGAGGAATACTCTTTAGATTGTTGGGATGATTTTTAGGAGTTCTTGCCTCTTGGGCTTCAGCAGTGCAATAAGCCTTCTCTATTAGTGTCTTTCCTGTTGTTTTTTCCTAATGTACATCCTAATTTTTTTTCTTTTACCGTTAATCCCTTCCATTAGTCTGTCAACATAGCTCAGTGTTCACCAGTATGGGAAACTCGTGTTGGATCTCACGTTTCGTCTTGGAAATGTATGGGAAACTCGAGAGCTTCAAACTCCCTTTTCCTTTTGATGGGTTGATAGTAGTCAGTCCTTGTGATATTATTGTTTTTTATTTTTATTCCATGGGCCAACTTTCCATCATTTGCAATGGAGCCAAAGATTCACTATTTTTTGGCTTGAGAATATGATGGAATAAAACAAAGTGGTTCACTAAACTGTTTGCGCTTCTTTGTTATGAAGTAGCAGTCAGTTCATGCAACGATCGACGTAATTTTCACCATGGGTCATCCGGAAATAGCCTCTCTGTGCTTTAGTACAGGGGTAAGGCTGCGTACATCTGACCCCCTTACACCACCATAGGTTGGAGACTTTGCGGCATTGGGGTAATGATGATGAATGATGATGATGGCTAATTTGGTAAGTTTGTGCAAATGCAAGGTTTATGCGCCAATGCACATAACCCTGAGCTTCATCCAAATTTAAAGTCAATCGCTAGTTTTCCAAAGATCAGGAGAGGTGCTATCATGTTTCGGACAATGATAAGGTATATGGTGGCGAGAAAGCCAAAGCCAAAGATGAAACCAATAGAGCTAAGAACCCCGCCGGAGCAGACCCAGTCTTTAACAAGGGTAATTTTTGACATTTTGAAGGAGCATGGTCCCTTGAGCATTGCAGATACGTGGGAGCGTGTGAAGGTAAATCCCTAATTTCATTTTACAAGGCTTTGCAAATGGACTATGCAACAAATAAATTCTTTCAGAATCTAGACAAAGATACTACCAGTATAATAGGCATGGATTAGATTGCCTTCATTAATGTCTTATAAATATACAAGGTATTATGATGGATTGTCAAATGTAGAAAAGATCAGTTGTGAAAAATTGGCAATTTATGTTTCTTCATGCTTGAGAGTCATTTAACTTGGAAAGGGGCTATATCTATTTACCAAAAAAAATAGGAAAATTCTCGAACTAGGAATAAATATGTTTAGAAATTCCAAAATAGGATTGCCCTGTTTTTCTTCCGAAATAGGAGTAACATGGCAATATTCATTGTCATCTTGAGTCATTATTGTCAAATTACTTGCAGTACTAGGTATTAACAAGGCAATATTTATTGTCATTAATGGCAGTCTTTTTCAATCATAACACTAATTCTGGAAGAAAAACATAACAGTCCTATTTTGAAATTCTCGAACTATTTCAGGAAGAAAAACATAGCAGTCCTATTTTGAAATTCTGGAACGCTTTTGAATATGATGCATGCTAACTTTGAAGAACACTTGGTTTATATTATTGGAACAAGGTTTAGTATGATATACCAATGATTTCTAAATTTGTTGTGTAATCAAATGGTTTTTGTATTATCTACTCACATATACATGATACCATAGATGTTGTATTGAAACATCTAGGCAAACATTTGGCTTAGCGCTTGTTTGGTACTCCATTATTTTGTCTTATCATCGGCCTTATGAGCACCACACTAAATTTTTTATTCTGCTCACTAAATTGTATTATAACTAAAATAAGACACAAGATGCTTTCTGACTGAATTTGTGCAACGGGACATTTTGAGTTTTTTTCTTCAATTTTTTTCTGTGTTTTATATTTTAAATTAAATTATTTCAAAATTCATACAATTCAGCCATTTGAAACTCTTAAGTCACAATGTTTGCACATCAGCTCTAGTGTCACAAAAAAGGCTCTGAATTTTCTTATTTTGTTTACAAAATCTAGGAATATGATCGAATAAAGTAAAATGACTTACTAAACTATATGCACATCTTTCTTATGAAGAATCAGTCAGTCCATGCAATTTTCAACACTATTTTCATCATGGGTCATCCAGAAACAGTCTCTTTGTAAGTACATGGGTAAGGTTGCGTACATACGATGCCCCTTACTCCACTATAGGTGGAAGCCTTTGCGGCACTGAGGTAATGATGTTGTTTACAAAATCTAGGAAGTTGGAGTGAGAGGATTAACTAGCAAAAGCCACATGAAGGTAGTATTAAGATGGATGAAGCAAAGGCAAAAGATTAAGCTTATGTGCAACCATGTAGGTCCAAACAAGCAATTTCTGTATTCTACCTGGTTCACTAAACAGGATGTTAAACCATTACTGCCGGGCAGAGGCACTTCAGGAGGAAGGTTACCGTAGTCCTCAAGTTTGCAAGCTGGTGGTATCTAACATCCCAACTATGTTTGAGTTCTAAACATATGACTTCTTATCATTACTGAGATAAACTGATTATCAGTTCAGGTGTCCTTTAACTTGAACTGTAGTATGTTCACTAGTCTCTCCTTTTTGGGGTAGAGGGACATTGGCTATTTAGCTGGCTATTAAATCCCCTTAAGTCCTTAACAACACCTTATGAGTGGTTATGCTATATGTAAGTGGTATGTATAGTTTACTTCTAGTTTCTCAGGCAATCAAGTAATCAACAATATAATGGTTTACAGCCCGTTCAAAATCATTCATGTTTTTTTTAATAACTTAAACGAGATTATGAAATACATTGACAAAAGTGCCTTTAAAAAACAAAATGTATAAAGCTACTTTTTTCAATGAGTAAAAACAGTTGTTTTTAAACAAAAGCATCAAAACATAAGGGTGCCGTTTGGCCACACCTTTTTTCGGCTTATCAGGCTTATTAGCCAATTTTTTCACCAAACACGTAACTTTTGCTTTCGCGCGCTGAATTGTGTAATAAACAGAAAAAGTGAGGTTGGAGTTACTTTTCTGGCTGTTTTGGCTGAAGTTACTGTAGATGATCATTTTTGCTATTTTTAAATATAATTTTTTTTTATTTTATTAATAAAATATATTTTAAAAATAATTTTTTCTTAAATCAGCAGAATCAGCCAATGCAGTCATTTCAGTCAAAACTTCATAAATTTCAGCAATATCAGTCAAATCAGCCGATTTTCGTGCTACCAAACGGGCTCAAGGTGTACTACTATGAGTTTTGGAAATTGACGGGACGCCTTTCAAGTGTTTCGAAAGTAAATTTTTGAGAAAAATCGTGAAACACAGACTAGTTGGCATTTGACAATCGACCTCAACGCACAGCATAAACGTGTGCGTTCAATAATTTTGAGAAAACAGCTTCATTGTGTGCATGCCTGAACTGATTGAAGTCAAAGCCTCAGAGCAACCTGGCAGTGAAACTAAGTGAAAATAGGCTTCAAAGGTAATGGCTTCTAAGCAACTTCAAGTTTGACCGACAAAAAAGGTTACATGCATATATCAGCGTGGTGTCACGGACTTGTTTATTCTAGAATCCTAAAAAAAATCAAACGAAAAAAAAAACGGAGTTTTTTTTCGAATTAATGTTAATTAATTAATTAATTACGGAAATAATGCTGGAATAAAAGTATTTACCAAAATACTGCTGGCCCTTAACCACGGTCAGGGGTAAGTCGCCCAACCGTTGGGCGACTTATAAGTCGCCAAACGGTTTGGCGACTTATAAGTCGCCCAACGGTTGGGCGACTTACCCCTAAAATATGGTTGAAGGCGAGCAGCTACTGCCAGCCAGGCACGATCGTACCTACAAGGGTACGCACGATCGTGCCTATGTCCGAAAACAGCATTTCATCAGGTTTTTCGCCCCGATTCAACCCAGACTCATCTGTTTGCTATAAATAAGGTCTCCCTTCTCCTGTTAAAGTATTACGAACTAGATACAACACATTATAAAACATACAACACACGTCTTCACAATGACCTACTCTCAACAATATTAAAAACACCTTATAAACACCCGTAAAAAACCTTCAAATCATAACCGGAATAACACAATACAATCATCATATATGCCATAACAAGTAATCATCTAATATTCATACTCGAACACATCAATACACCATACAATACTTAACAAGACAAAATACATCAAAACTTGTACATTGTTCGTACAACATCTACTGCATAAGAAAAACTACAATACAAAAGACAAACTACAAGTTCTCATCATCAGCTTCGTCATGGAGATGTTGCTGCTCATGTCTACGCCTACGGCGTTGTCGTGGTTGAAGAACCACTCTCTCATGTTGCGTCTGGGATGATGAAGCTGCGGCTGCACTAGACGTGGATGCCATCTCCTGAGATGGGGGCATTTGTATAAGATGTCCGTAGTCTACTCGGCCCAACACATCTGAGCACAACGAGGCAATGCCTGTCAGAGCCTGTCCATACATGTCCACATCAGGAATATCAGTCACAGTGGTAGTAGCCCGCTGATGTATGCGCTGCAAAGCTCGTGTCTGAAATATGAAACACAATTACAATTACATTCAAATACATACAGGTATTACATAAATAAAATGACTTACTTTACTACTTACTAATATACTCACCGTAAGATGCAAAGGCAAGGAGCTAGGCTGATAATGATGAGTAGGGAGTCTGAACGAAGGAGACACAAATAACCGAGTGATGTTGTAGTACCATCCCATGTAGTCTCCTGAAACAGATGGCACATATGTGGGTGTCCCAACCACAGCTAGCTCAGCTCTCCTTTCCCACATAGTCACGTATCGGACATGTCTGAGTGCCCAATCCTCTGTATGCTTCCCACGCCTATCCAGCTTATGCAGCTCTACATAAGTGTCGATAGGACGTGGAACGACCTGCTCAAACCCAAACTGTCGCATGACTCTATCAGGCAAATGAAGCTCAACAATGTCAAAACATATCAACGGGACACGTGCTCGCTAGATGTGAGTATGCTCTCGTCCAGCTGGGGGCAACTCTGCTAACATATCAGGTCTAAACGGCATCCATGTGATCTGTTTCGTAAACATACAAAATTATTATTTATTCTACACCTATTCTAGTTAATGTTATACTACATATACCATACCTGGTCCTCAGACATCCGATCCAATGCATCCCTGTACACACCGAGCCCAGTAGCGGATGACATGCGAGATAGACCAGCATATAGCCACCTAACCATTCATGTAACAATATCAATAATATGGATATTATTAATTTATTAACATTCAACAAATACTCACATAAATACAAAGGATTGAAAACATACCGACGGCCTAGAGGGTCCTCGCCCCGTACATGATGTGGTCCTAGAAGACGTGGAGGCTCATCAGGCAGTGGCTGTCCATCAATGCCATGATATCCGACTATAATGGGACGGCCAATGTGGATATACTCCCATGACCAAATCTGGAGGAGTAGCAAAAATCCCCCCAGCTCTGTGCTCCCTCTCTGGCAGCCGCGACACAGCTGCCTGTATAGATAAGCCAGGGTGGCACTACCCCAGCTGAACTGTGCTGCTACATCAAACCTCTCCAGCAAAGGCAAGTGTAGCACCTGAACCTCATTTCCGCTCTTGTCAGCGAAAATGGAGGCTCCCATCATCATCAATATATACGCCCGAGCATGCTGCTGGATGATCACCTCATCAGCGTCGGGAGGAAGGACCTGGAAGTGCTCCCTCAACCACGGCATCCTAAGAGATGACCCCTGAAGGTCAGTCCTAAGAACGGGGCGGATACCTAACAACCGCTCACACTCATCAACCCACTGTCGACAAGCAGTGCCTGTAACAGCTCTCCCATGAACCTCTAACCCGGTGAGTACAGCCACATCTCCCAATGTCACAGTCACCTCACCAACAGGGAGGTGAAATGAGTGTGTCTCCTGCCTCCAACGCTCAAGTAGAGCAGTGAGAAGGGCTCTATCAAGAGGCACAGTAGCCACTAATCTGTGCAGTGTAAAAAAACCAGCAGCCCGAACATAGGCTAGGACTCTGGGGTCGACATGTAAATGGGACAAACCCCGCAGGTGCTCGCGGCACCTATCAACCTGGACATCCATGCCAAGCCAAACATCCTCACTCCTGTGTGAGGCCTGCAATGTCAGGACAGAACGATCACTCGGCCCAGGATCCGCTATCACCTCCATGCCTACAAACAAATAACATTTGTATTAGTTCTAATTGTATAATGTATTACTTTTTTTTTAACATTCCTTTTTGAAATGATTAAGTTTCCTTGCAAGGAAAAGATGATTTATGATTGACTCTAAATAGAACATTACCCGGCGGACCCCCCCTCTTGTCTAGACGATCTTTTCGCACATGTCGCTCTATTATGGCCGGTTTGGTGGCATTTTCCACATCTAACCGTTCCTCGTGGACCTTCATCCATCTCATTCTTAATACGGGTCGACTTTGGTCTTCCCTTTGCCCGAAGCATGGATGGATCGTGCACGATTTCGGGTCCATTGTAATTTGGCCAATAATCACGATCAGGAATCGGTTTGAACACCCTATGATATGTGGCGGCGTATTGGTCAGATGAGAAGAACTTATCCACAAAAGGAGCATAAGACAAACTACGTTGTCTACACACGGCTAATACATGAGAGCATGGAATTTTGTATATCTGCATCTTTTTACAAGTGCATGTTTTCCGTTGTAGGTGGACAGTTTGTTTTCTCCCACCCTTTCCCAACGTTCGGCCACCACAACCGGTTTCCACCTGAAATATACCTCTCCCTAAATCAAATGGAGTGACAATGTGATGCTTTGCCTTCTCTCTATTTTTTTCAATTAAATCTGTGATGTGTGGGGAGTACTCGTGGCCTTGTGTGAGCCTCAATTTACTGCTTTCACGCCTATGCACAAAGTAGGCATTAACCCGGTAAAAAGACACCTGGACCAACGCGGTAATGGGCAAATATCTAGCATTTTTCATGACGCTATTGAAAACCTCAGCTAGATTTGAAGTGATGGTACCGTATCTGTACCCGCCATCGTGGTGCAGCGACCACATTTCTGGAGGAATGTTGGCCAAAAAATGGCGTGCATCCCTACTCATTTCACCTATCTTCTTGAGCCCACCATCAATTTTTTTTTTCTGATGTTGCCGTGCGGTCCACACAAAAAGATTTTTTAAATGAATGTCTTTGAAATGAGTATGCACATTAGATGCAAGATGGCGGATGCAAAGCCTATGATGCGCATAAGGCTCCTCCCATGTACTGCCCACCTCATTCATTGCCCTGAGAATACCTCCATGTCTATCTGAAATGACACACAACTCCCTGTCAGTCACAAACTGCCTAATACATGCCATAAACCATGGCCAACTATCTCCATTCTCGGATTCAACAACTGCAAAGGCGACTGGGAAAATTTGGTTGTTCGCATCACAACCCATGGCCACGAGCAATGTACCCTTGTACTTTCCATACATGTGTGTGCCATCAATAGTAAGTACGGGTCGACAATGCTTAAAACCAGATATTGATGCCTTGAATGCCCAAAAAACTCTTTGAAACATCATATAACCTGTGGAACCTTTGGGGGGTGGGTACCACTGAACAACAGTTCCTGGATTAGAATGTTGGAGCGCTGTCATGAAACGGGGCAATTCGAAATATGACTTTTCCCAACCGCCAAATATTTGTGCTATGGCCTTTTGCTTCCCCATCCATGTTCTCCGGTAAGATACTGTATACCCATATTTTTCCTTCAACATCTCGATGATAGTATGCACTTTAAGAGAAGGATCAGTGCGAATAATGTCAACCACATCTTTACAGATGAATTCTGATGTCAAGGCCACGTGATCTGTAGTGTCGATGTTGCCTACACAAGAAGCAGAATGAGGTCCAGAATAACGCACAATTGTGAAGGTGTCAAGGTTGCCTTTGTTCTTTGTGGCGCGTATTCTCCAGGGGCAATGACATTCTTTCTTCCTTTTGCATTGTGCCACCCATTTGTGTTTATCGGACTCTATCACCCGATAGAATTGGTTCCGTTTGATAGAATACAAGCTCACCATATTGATGACTTGTTCTTTGTTGTCAAACTGTTGACCGACCTCAAACTCACCATCGGGGGTAAACCTTTTCTCACCTGATCCACTCATCCACGCATCAGTAAAACCTTCAGGGAGATCATACATTCTAGTAAAATGGCTAGACGGGGCAGTTGACGTCACTGTATCACCATCATCTTCATCAGATTCTGTCATGTCATCACCATTAATGTTGTCGTCTGCATCATCATCACTTCTCTGTCCATCCACAAATGATGCACCGTTGTGCAAATACCTACCATCCTCCTGTATCACCATGTCTAGTACAGGAGCCTTTGAGGAGTTCCCCGCATTAACCCCTGCATTGACATCATGCCTATATAAAACAGCATTTGATGTTGATTGAGTACCATAAGTGTCACTGGATTCCTCAATGTATATCTCCAGCGTTGACATATCCTCCATCTGAATAATGCCCCACATATTAGTTATAGCTAGCTCATCAATGAGCGGCATAAGCATGTACTTTCCCCCGTTCATGGGAAATTTCATTTTCAACCGCAAAGAACGGCTAGGATGAATCATTGTGGCTGCATGTATTTTTTGAAGGATCTCCAGCATGCAAGCGCCACGAGAAACCATGACAAAGCTGGTTCTACCACCTTCTAGGCATATTTGCCCAGCATCCTCATAATAGTTCCCTCCCCAATGACATATGATTGGGAAGCTTGAGAAATCCATATTCTAATAACAATTCATTGTCCAACATTCATGAGTAGGCATCAATATACACACTTTAAACACATTCAAATTTTCAATAGAAAAAACTACCAAAATTGTAATATATCCAAAAGTCAAAATTCACAAACAATTTACAATTCGACATTTCACAACAACTTCATTCACAATCAATTCATAATCCCAAAATTCAAAAAATTTAACATTCTAAACCCTAGGTGCAAAATTAGATGAAATGGATTTGAATTTACCTAGAATAAGGAGTAAAGAGTGTTGAAGATGAAGATGGAGGTTGGCCGGAGTGGGGTCGCCGGAGTTCGAGTGGCTCTCGCGTCGTTCGTCCTCTTCGTTCGTCCGTCGGCTGCAGTTTGGGGGATTTGGGGATAATGTCTCGATGAGTTCTGTTTTTGGGTCTGGCCGCTGAATTTACTTAAGCGTAAGTCGCCCAACGGTTGGGCGACTTATAAGTCGCCAAACCGTTTGGCGACTTATAAGTCGCCCAACCGTTGGGCGACTTACCCCCGACCATGGTTAACCCAGCAGTATTTTGGTATATACTTTTAACCCAGCCCTATTTTCGTAATTAATTAATTAATTAACATTAATACGGAAAAAAACTCAAAAAAACGTAAGCAGTACCATGTACTTGCGGAATGCGGAGTAATAAACATCAATAGGACAAGAGGGCCAACAGGACTTAATTCATTCACTCATAACTTTCTACTCCCTCCGTCCCGAAAACAACTTCCCAGTTGGACTTTCACACACTTTTAGAAAATAAATTTGACTTTACTGTAGAGTGCACTGTTTTGCACTGTTTAAACACTGTTTGGCACTGTTTAAACACTGTTTGGCACTGTTTAAACATTGTTTGACATTGTTTATCACTTTTTTGATGTAGATAATTTGCCAAATAAGGAAAGTATTGAAGTGTGAAGTTAATTTTGGAACATCCATTTAAGGAAAGTGGGAAGTTGTTTTTGGGACGGATGGAGTACTTCAAACTTTCATTCACCCATAACTTTAATATAGAGTAATAATAATAATTTAATATACCTTTAACATTATCTTCAATAATTTAAAATTTACTGCACCTACTTAAGATAAAGCTCCAAGGACTATGTTGAACACTTGAGCTATATTTGTCAATAAATTGCCAACATATATTAATATACATAACAAAAGGCAACGCTAAATATCACAAAAACTAAAGCATATAAGGCCGACAACAATGTCATGTGAAGTGAAATCCCTCCTTTGTCCTTCCTAAACGTCATCCCTTCAACTAAGGGATAGTTCACTAGCAAGATGAAGAAGGAAAGGAAAATTTGGCCGGAGAATTCATTCCATCCTCCAACCACGATCAACTTTGCAATTCCCCAGGTTAAGGACACCATGTTTAGTATGACTAAGGCTACTAAAGGGACAAGAAAGAGGGATGATGATGCCTGGAAATCAAATATGCCGTCTCGGTACCTTCTCATTTGTTCATCATCAACAACTTTGCATGTTGGTATGAAGTTGGCTTTTCTGATTCCACACAGCTTGAGGATAGCATCTAGGCTGCCATAAAAATAGGCAGTTATGGACTTGATCATCCACATTCGCCATTCATTCCACCATGTTTGGATAGTTCCCCCGGTGATGAGAACGTCCCACAAGTACTTCGCCAAGGGAGAGATAAAAGCAAATGAATATATGATAAACCATGGACTTGAAGCCTACCAAAAAAGAGAGTTGAATATTACTGCATCATAACTAGAAACCTTTAAAAAATGAACAGGGAATGTGTACAGAATAATACATCAATTAAATATGAACCGGAAAATTAAAATATCCTCTAATTAAATGTGGACATAAAAAACACACATAACAAAATTTAAGAACCTTAGAGATCACTAGTCACCGTGGAAAATACCTACGCGTGAGTGTTTTATTGGGCCGGTGTTCGTTGTTAAGGGCAGACGTACAAGATCTCGTCCAAGGACGAGAACGAGAGACTGGCAGGGAACGAGAACTTCGAAAATTCTGAAATTTGGAATCTATGATGAATGTATTAACTGGAAGAATTAAAAGAAAGGCTCAGTGGAATTAATCTGATCTTGGAAGTATTCCAGAGATCCAGAAATTAATTCTCCAAAGCTGTTTATTGAATAATACTAATGACCCTTATATAGCTATTACAAGAGTCCTAATTCTAAAAGGAAATAAATGCTAATTAAGAAGTTTCCTAAAACATAATAGGAAACATAATAGCTAATTGAACAGAGATAAATACTAATTAGGAAACTGCTGCAGATTATTGAATAGGAAGCTAGAAATAATTAGAGAAAGAGATAAATGCTAATTAGGAAGCTGCAGATTAGGAAGTTTCCTAAAACTGTCAGATCACAGATTTCTTTCTCAGCCACTTTGGATTCCAGAATCGTCCTTCCTGATCATCCGATTTCTACGTTGATATTTCCGACCATAGAATTGGTCTGTAACATCACTCCCCCCGTTGACAAAGAGCTTGTCCTCAAGCTCAAAACTGGGAAATCTCGTTTGAAATGAACCCAAGGGCTCCCAGGTTGCCTCATCCAGTTGGTGCCCTTGCCAGTGAACTAAGAGCTCCCATCCCCCTTGAGTAAGTCTACTTCGAATGATTGCAAGTGGAATTGAGGTGCTAAGACTGTTAGGAACTGGCGGAAGAGTGCCCATTGTCGTTGGAGGAGGCCCTTTATGTGGCTTCAAAAGGGAGACATGGAAGACATCGTGTATACGAGCCTCAGAGGGTAATATGAGCTTGTATGCGCTGTTGCCAATGCGTTCCTGCACTTGAAAGGGGCCAAAAAATTTCTGCAATAGTTTGTGATTTTTTTGGCCCAAGGAGAGCTGGCGATATGGCTGGAGACGGAGCCAGACCCATGCTCCGGGTTCAAAGGATAAGTCTCGGTGATGTTTATCAAACTGGTCCTTCATGCGTTGTTGGGCTTGTGCTAGTCGGTCCTTGACACTTTTCAGAAGTTGGTCACGGGCAATGAGCTCCCGATCAACCCCCTCGACCATAGTTGTGCCGGGCATATATGAGAGAATACGAGGCGGATCCCGACCATACACTAAACGAAAAGGGGTGTCCCCTAAGGAAGAGTGGTAAGATGTGTTGTAACAATACTCAACCCATGGAAGCCAACGGACCCATTCCTTGGGATAATCGCTAGTGACACAACGTAAGAACAACCCTACGGTACGGTTGACCACTTCCGTTTGGCCATCTGTCTGCGGGTGATATGCGGATGAATAGGCCAGCTTGGTTCCTGATAATCTGAAAAGTTCGCGCCAAAATGTGCTTACAAATATTTTATCCCGGTCAGAAACAATGGATTCAGGCAGTCCATGAAGGCGAAATATTTCAGCAAAGAAGACTCCTGCGACTGAGACAGCAGTATAAGGATGAGACAATGGGACGAAATGTGCTGCTTTAGAGAGTCTGTCCACAACCACTAGAATAACAGACTTGCCGCGAACCTTTGGTAAACCCTCCACAAAATCCATTGAAATATCGGCCCATATGTGGTGTGGAATCGGAAGAGGTTGAAGCAACCCAGCTGGCTGTAATGTCAACCACTTGTGTTTTTGACACGTTTGACAGTCACGAACAAAGGTTGTCACTGCCGTTTTCATGCCGCTCCAATAAAACTCACGCCGAAGCCGTTGCAAAGTCTTTTCCACTCCCTCATGAGCCATATTATGAAAAATCGAGATCAGAGTCGGAACGACTGCAAATGTATCTAGCAGGTAGATTTTAAACCTGAAATAAACTAGGCCATCTCGAATCTCCCAATCTGATCCACGTTGACCACTTCGAATTTCGCCAATGATATCTCCTATGATAGGAGAGGTTGCTTGTGCTGCCCGTATTTCAGTAAGTAAGGTGTTGTATGGAATACTGAGTGCTGCCAACTGGATGTCGTCCTCATGTTGTCGGGATAGAGCATCTGCGACAGTGTTTAGGCGGCCTGGCTTGTATTCTACCCGAAAATTGAAGCCCATCAATTTACTCAACCAATGTTGTTGTGGGGAAGTGGTCAATCGTTGATCGAGTAAATACTTCAAACTGGAGTGATCTGTCCGAATTAAAAATTCAGATCCCCACAAGTAGGGTCTCCAATGAGTCACCGCCTTGGCTAAGCCAATCAACTCTCTTTCATAGGCTGCGAGCTTAAGGTGTCGATCAGCTATTTTTCGACTAAAGTAGGCGATAGGATGCCCTTCCTGTTGTAAGACTGCTCCAAAACCTGAACCGGAAGCATCGCATTCTACAATGAATTCTTTTTCAAAATTTGGCAATTGGAGTACCGGAGCGGAGGATAAGCGTTGCTTAAGTGTCTCGAATGCCTGGGCAGCTTCCTCTGTCCATATGAAAGAGCTTTTCCTTAACATTTGCGTGAGAGGCCCCGCAATTTCGCCATATTGTTGAATAAACTTTCTGTAATAGCCGGACAACCCTAAAAACCCGCGCAGGGCAGATACAGATTTAGGGAGGGGCCACTCTGTGATTGCATGTATTTTGGATGGATCAACCTCGACACCCCCACGATGTATTATGTGACCAAGATAGTTGACTTGCTGGTCGCCAAAACTGCACTTGGACTTTTTTACAGAAAGGCCATGGTTGCGCAAGATTTCTAAGACGAGGCGCACATGATAAACGTGCTCAACCCATGACTTGCTATAAATCAGTATGTCATCAAAGAAAACGAGGACAAACTTGCGAAGGTAGGGCCCAAAAATATCATTCATCAAACTCTGAAATGTGGAGGGTGCATTAGTTAGGCCAAAAGGCATAACTAAGAATTCAAAGTGTCCATGATGCGTACGGAATGCTGTTTTTTCGACATCCCCAGCTGCCATCCGGATCTGATGATATCCAGAACGCAGGTCGAGTTTAGTAAAAAATTGGGCCCCATAAAGCTCATCTAGCAGCTCATCAATTACCGGGATTGGATATTTATCCTTAATCGTCTTGGAATTCAATTCCCTATAATCAACGCAGAATCGCCAAGCACCCTCTGGTTTTTTTACTAATAATACAGGCGACGAAAAGGGAGAATGACTTGGGCGTATGATACCTTGCGCGAGCATCTCTGAACATTGTCTTTCGATTTCATCCTTTTGAAAGTATGGGTAGCGGTACGGACGAACAACGACTGGGCCTGTTCCTGGGATGAGGGAAATTCGGTGATCACAAGGCCGAGAAGGTGGGAGGCCGGTTGGTGGGCAGAAGATATCCTGGAAGTCATTCAGTAGGCCTTCCAGCCCTAATACTGTTTCGGTCAACATATGGGCATGAGGAGGCGTAGTTGCAATCTGTCCGTGCCATTCCACTTTTGCATTCTGCCATATGAATTGCATAGAAAGGCGGGAGAAGTCCCATACAATGGATCCGAGGCCTTGAAGCCATTGTACTCCCAAGATCATGTCAAATCCGGCTAAGGGCAGTACATAGAAGTCTGCCATAAATGTGCGTCCATCGACCATGAATTCCAGCCGAGGGCAGGTTCCCAATATAGGCACCCGTTCACCATTAGCCACCAAAACCTGAAGACGGGACCCAGGTTGGACTGGATGAACAATATTAGAAACTAGCCGTTGATGCACAAAATTGTGGGTGCTGCCTGAGTCGACTAAAACCGTGATCGAGGTGTTGTGAATGTGTGCAGCTAACTGCATTGTCGATGTTGTCCCAGCACCAACCATAGCATGAAGTGAGAGGGGGGGCTCCAGGTCATCCTCCACGGGATTGTCTTCCAAAATTTCAATGAAAAACAACCGTTTGCATTTATGGCCACGAACCCACTGATCATCACAATTATAACACAACCCTTTCTCCCGGCGGATGGCAGCCTCTGCAGGAGAAATCTTTTTAAAATTCGGAATGGAGCTGCGCCGAGGTTGATTGGATTCGGTCAGTGTGGACGCATAGCCTGATCGTGTGGCAGGTTGGGGTGGAGGGGAGATCTCGACCGAGGAGCCTGGCAAATTATATTTGCGTTCAACATTACGTGCGAGCATCATCGCAGAGTCAAGATCTAACGGACTTTGGTACTCAACCTCCATGCGGATGACCTCCCGAAGGCCAGCTGTGAATATTTTGACTTGCATTCGTGTAGAGATCCCCACGGTTCGAGCCAATAATTGTTGAAAATTCTCAATGTAGAGCTCCAGATCACGAGTTTGACGAAGTTTGGCAAGATCACCTTCTGGATTAGAACTACTGGGTGGGCCAAAACGTTTGATGCAGCGAGTGTAAAAATCTGTCCATGTAATCTCTGAAATTCCTGTCTCCAGTTGATCGGCCCATAGTTGGGCGGTGCCGAGCATGTGGAATGTTGCCAATCCCACTCGAGCTTGGGCCGGTGTTCGTTGTTGAATAAAGAAGCTTTCACAACGTTTCAACCACGACAAGGGATCACTTTTACCGTCAAATTGAGGGAATTCCAGTTTGGAGTAGCGGGGGACTACGGAGTCATCAGTTTCACGCCGACGATGTTCTGGGTCGCGTTGTCGTTCATGCCGTGGAATGCTGGAGGAAGATTCGTCCATCAATCGTTGCAGGTTGGCAGCTAGCGCGGATACAACGTTAGGAATGTCGGCGAGCTTTGCCATAGAATCCCTGATGTCTGCCAATTGATGTTCGACTGCCAGTTGCCTGTGATCGATGTTTTCGATCATGTCTTTGAGTGAGCCAGCGTCAGCAGCGTCTTTCGCCATCGTCCTAGATGCTGATACCAAGTTGTTAAGGGCAGACGTACAAGATCTCGTCCAAGGACGAGAACGAGAGACTGGCAGGGAACGAGAACTTCGAAAATTCTGAAATTTGGAATCTATGATGAATGTATTAACTGGAAGAATTAAAAGAAAGGCTCAGTGGAATTAATCTGATCTTGGAAGTATTCCAGAGATCCAGAAATTAATTCTCCAAAGCTGTTTATTGAATAATACTAATGACCCTTATATAGCTATTACAAGAGTCCTAATTCTAAAAGGAAATAAATGCTAATTAAGAAGTTTCCTAAAACATAATAGGAAACATAATAGCTAATTGAACAGAGATAAATACTAATTAGGAAACTGCTGCAGATTATTGAATAGGAAGCTAGAAATAATTAGAGAAAGAGATAAATGCTAATTAGGAAGCTGCAGATTAGGAAGTTTCCTAAAACTGTCAGATCACAGATTTCTTTCTCAGCCACTTTGGATTCCAGAATCGTCCTTCCTGATCATCCGATTTCTACGTTGATATTTCCGACCATAGAATTGGTCTGTAACATAGTCATGGAAACTCGGCCTTATTAGAGGTTAGTTTGGAGAAAATATCCAAATGCAGTACTCTAACGATTATCTAAGTGGGACCAGATTCTCCTTATGGAGATTACCAACTTATACTATTAAGCATTTTTTTTCAAAATCACTTGAAAAGTGATTTTTTAAAAAGAATAAGCAATTGCAAACACTCCTCAACGGAAAGCCTACTCTTGCATACTGTATACACTTATTCGGTCAAGACAAACTTAATTACTCCCTCCATCCCATAAAGAAGTTTTTGTTTCGGTTTACGATGTTTGACTGACGATAAAGCAACTCGATCCTTGTTTACACTCAGATTATTTTTAGTAAATAAAATTTACATATTCAGATAACACATTAAATATTATACAAAGTCTGATCAAGAAAATTTAAATTCGATAAAAATTTGATACATAAAGTAAAAGATTAAGACTAATTTAAGTTGACCGAGTGAATAGTGAATGAGAACTTCATTTCGGACGGAGGTAGTATGTCCCAACATTTGTCCAATGAAGTTGGGAAAGCATAGTTTCAAATGCTTTACTAGCTAGGCGTCTCTACACAGATTTGCTTTTAAGCAAATTTAGGTTCTCCTAGGGAGGTTAGGCAATGCACTTTTAAAAGAGTCTTATTAGAAAAGTAGTCTGATGATACCTTGGGGTATATTGGGAGGCCAATTAAGAGACAGATCTGAGGCACAGTGGCTAAACACCAAGCCGGTAAGCAGTAGAGAGGCTGAGATGCCAAATGCGTGTAGCATAAACACTCAAGTAGGGGTAGTCTTGGTAATCCATAAATAAGAGGGCAGAATCTTGAAAGGAAGCAATCCAGCAAGCCAGAATTCCACCTTGTGCCCTGGATCAATGTGTCATTCAAGTTTGTTGTGGTGCTACCCAAGAATGCTGCCCGGTTCGGGTTGCAAAACACTGAGATCCACCCTCTACAGTGCAACATAAACCCTGTTGAGTAATCCTCCACCACTGAGTTATACATAAAACCGATCTGTATGTAATCCAAGAGAAAGCTATCACCCTTCACAACTTATCTAAGGTGTTCATATTGACACCACATAAAAGCAATCATTTAGGAATTATGAGTAAGTTAGGAGGAATGCTTTACACACGGAGTATCGTTTTTTTTAGGAAATTAAATTCACTCTTAAAGTATTACATTGCATTTCACTCTTAAAGTATTAGCTGTAGGAACTAGACACTTCTGAAATATGGAGTAGATGTTAGTTATTTTGAATTGAATTTGAATGAAGTAGAAACTTTGGTCCACCTTTTTAGGCATACAAGGAACTTAGCACTTACATCTTTGCCCCATTGTGCATCTTTCTCATATCCACAAGAGGCTACAAAATGTGTCTCTTTGAGCAGTGTATTCGTCCACTCTGTGTTACCTCTTACGCTATTTCTGTGGCTGCTTCTGGTAAGTGAACTCGTGAACTCATTTGAATGACCAAAACAGTCTTTGAGATCAGAAATGTCCATACCTGTTGGGATCGGTCATAAATCCAGCACACATACGTAAACTCAAAAGTTTTTATTGTATGTAGAGTGAAGAACATATCTAATTAAAACAGATGCTACAAGCATGCAAGAAGAACTGGAACTAGGCAACTAGCTTGATAAGTGTGAATGTGTGATGGTGGAATCTGCTGAATTAGTCGCTATCTGCTTATTTACTTGCTTATAGGAGTACTCCTAATGCCATTAGTAGTAGTGAACTTTGTCAATTATCCCGATTAAGTAATTACATTAAAATATATGCAAATTAACAGCTGAAGTTTTGATAAGGAATTAGAGATAGAGCCCATTTGGTAAACCATGTTTTCCACTTATGAGCCTTGTCTGTCAACTTTTAAGTAACATGTAACCTTTGATCCCATACGTTGAATTGCTTAGCAATCAAAATAAGCAAGGTTTGAGTTCCTTTTTCGACATAATTGGCTGAATTTGCTTTAAAAGGCTATTTTAAGTAACTTTCATATAATTTTTTCTTTGTTTTGTTAATAAAATACATTTTAATTTTTTTTTTTATAATTCAGGAGATTATGCCACTTCAACTAGAATTCCACGAATCTCAACAAATTTAGTTGGTTGAGCCAATTTTAGTGTTAGCAAAAAGGCTCTTAATTTCATTACGAAGTTTAACATGGATGAAGAATCAATATGAGAATAGATGTATTCCATGGTATTTGGTCATAGCATTTTTGGGTAATAACCATTTTCAAGAATTAATCATTCATATTGCAATGGGACACATAACATACCCTTTTTTATTATATTAGCCCCATTGTATAATGCTCTCCTCTTAATGTAAAAGCATGTACCAGACATGATTGGCCCTCTAAGCCCATCCATGCCTCTCCACTTGACCTGATAAACCGTAACAAAATAAAGAGAAATACTCCTATGTACTATAGTACCACCCAAAACTCAGCCCATCTCCATTTCACAACACTTCATAGTACTATAGTAGTTAGAATTAAGTCCCACTAATTCACTTAATTACACTATGCATACATAAAGTGTTGGTAACCCTCACAAAAAATGACTGTAAGTTTTTAAATGACATTTCGATAGACAGAATAAGAAAATAAATTATGTGTAAAACTGTTAGCTTGTTGATACATCCAATTGCCATTAAGAAAGCGAATAGATGAGCCTCATGAGCTATGTGTCCAACTCCAGTACTGGAACACTTTATTGGGAAAAATAGGTCACTGTAGGTGATCAATATGAAATATGTCAATACAGGAGTGACCGATTACATTCACCAAGTGATTACCCACATGGAGCTTGAACAGAAGATGTGAAGTAGAAAATAAATACCTCAAAAATGGAGGCCAAGGCCGAAGTATAGATGTCATTGCTGCTAAGATTGTGAAACTTCTGAGGAAATTGGACAAAGGCTAATGAAGAAGAGATGGCAGGATCAAGATGGAAACACATAGCTTGACGAGCTGACGAAGGGTCATTAGAGTACATGTCACAATCTAACACCAATATATAAGGAGAGTTGCTCAGCATTCCAGACACTCGGAGCTGCCAATACACACACACACAATTAATTCCCAGCGATTAACTGCTCAATTGTTACGCCAACTAAGACTAATCACAGGGATACCAAATACCAGAACATTGAGAGCTCCGGCTTTGAAATGATGAGAGTGTAGAGGTCTTTTCTCACGGGAAACGTACACAACAAGGGGCATGTCATCTTTGCTTCCATTTGCTGCGTCAAAGCTGCCTTCACCTATTATCTACATACATGACATGGTGTCATATTTATACTGCTACTCCTTCACTATACAAACATTCAATTATTTCCTGACTTCCTGTTGATGGAAGTTTAGTGCTCAACCTATATCTAATTCAGATGACTAAAATTCAAGAGGAAAACAAAGAGTGTGAAAAAAATCAAAAATAAATGGACATGGTACTACATTCAGCATATAAATACTTAATACTCCTCGTGTTCCAGTTTAAGGTTCCCAGTAAACTTACCTCTCTTTTCATCTCAAAGTTTGTACTCCTTATAATACATCTTTTATCATTATCGACTTCAGTTTTCACAATTCAATAGAATTTCTTGCATAGTTTCCAAATGTGTAAATTTTGATCATTAATGTCATTATATATATACAGGAAAATCTTCCGGTAAGGTATACCTTACCGGAACCGCCGTGCGGCCTCCACGTTTTGAGGGCCTTCCAGGTGTAATTTTTCGATCCAAATTTTTTGAGCATGTTCGTGATCAAGCAACAGTTGTCAGGGCCGTCCATAGATGGGAGGCACCTAGGCAAATGCCTAGGGCACCATCAATCTATAGGGCACCATTTTTTTTTTGACCAATCTATAGGGCACCATTAAGAACTACAGATTATATTACTTTTACGTATAATAATACTCCGTACTACATACATACTAACTAAAAAGTCCACTTAGAGGTTTGACCAACTTAAAAAAAAAGAACTCTTGTCTGACAAAAAAAATTAAATAAAATATGTACTGTAGTATATCACATGGCCTAGCTGATAGAATAGTGCAACTCCTTCAATAATCAATTTAATCATTAGTAATTCTCTAATCCCTAACACAACATAAAAATTGGTGAAGTAAAATAATACTACCTTCATCCCAAAAAAACTTTTATTTCATAAAATTTGGACCGTGATTTTGAATAATATAATATAAATTTTATACTTTTATGAAAGTACTTTTAACAAAGAACATTTTCATTTATTTTTATATTATACTCCCTCCGTCCCAATATAAAAAGACACATTTTCGTTTCCACACATTTTTAAGGTGAACATTGTTTGACACTGTTTGGACATTGTTTGACACTGTTTGGACATTGTTTTGCACTGTTTTGTTTGTCAAAAAGGGAAATGTGCCTTTTATATTGGGACGTCCCGAAAAGAAAAGTGTGTCTTTTATATTGGGACGGAGGGAGTAAATAATTTCTAATAAAACTATATAGTTGATCAATGTTTTGAAAATGGTAAAGTTTTTAGGCCAGAGGTCGTAATGGGTAGGACTCTATAAAAGAATAATAGTTAAGACTATGAGCCTCACAAAATTCCGAAATCTAAATAAAAAAAGACAATCTTCACAAGATTCATCTGTAATTAGCCTGATTGGTATTACAAAGACGGAAGATTATACACAATAGGTCATTTGTCCAATTTACCATTTTTTTCAAGTGTTTTTTTTTTTTTTCAGTTTCAAAAACGAAAGGCCGTCAATACTGAAGTTAGAACATAATTTCGTATCTCTGTTGCCATAAGAATTTACTCAAATTCAATTTCATGGTGAGCACTTTTTGCAAAACTATTACGTTGAATGAAGATTTGAAATATTAAATTTCAATTTACGTTAAAAATATATAAAATCTAAATTTTAATGCAAAATTTTAAACAGTTAATCTGTAAATGATATCTTATACTAGAGGACTTTTCATGTCCGGCCAGCCGGCCTGACGGGAACCGCCGTCCGGTCGAGGACATTTCGGGCCCTTCCCAATCGAATTTTTTGATGAAATTTTTTGAGCATATTCTTCATCAAGTCTAGTTTATCCATACTAAATTTTAGCTCAAAATTCGATCGGGAAGTCATTCAAATCATTTTTTGAAGTTGACTGCGTTTTTATATGTATATTTTGACGCAGTCAACTTCAAAAAATGATTTGAATGACTTCCCGATCGAATTTTGAGCTGAAATTTGGTATGGATAAACTAGACTTGATGAAAAACATGCTCAAAAAACATCAAAAAATTCGATTGGGAAGTGCCTGAAATGCCCTCGGCCGGACGGCGGTTCCCGTCAGTCCGGCTGGACAAGAACGAGACTCTCTTATACTAATATCTAACAAGTTTCACTAACATGCAGATATATTTTAGTTCATGCCTAGGGCCCAAAAATTCCTAAAGACGGCCCCTGACAGTTGTTCATATTTAAAAAAGGAAATGTATGTATAATAATTCTAAGTATGGTTGTTCTATTTTTAGTAGTCCCAATATAATAAATTAAAAATGTTGCGAATAAAAAAGCAATACTCCATCTTTTTCTACATTAAATTTTCTTATATATATATATAGACAAATCTTCATGTCAGGCCGGCCTGACGGGATGCTCCGTCCGGCCGAGGGCATTTCGGGCACTTCCCGGTGGAATTTTTTGATGAAATTTTTTGAGCATGTTCTTCATGAAGTCTAGTTTATCCATACCAAATTTCAGCTAAAAATTCAATCGGGAAGGCACTCAAATAATTTCTTGAAGTTTATTGGGCAGTTTCTGTGTATGAACTGTCCAGTTAACTGTCCAGTTATTTAGCTGAAATTTTTGTCAATTTTTCCAAAAGTCTATGGATTTATAAGTTCATTGACTTTTTTAAAAGTCCATGTATTAAAAAAAAAAATATACCACAATCCATATTCAATGCACTCGGTTCATCCATATGTACGAGTGAGAGGTTACCTCAACTGAGGAAGAGTGATTTTGAGCATTCATATCCATTTCCTTTGACTCTCCAATGACTCTCAACTGCTCCTTGAATTTCTCATATTCGCTCTGATATTAATTAGTGGGCTTAAACTTACCAAGTAGTCAAAATCAGACAAAATGCATAGAGCACGCCAAAGTATACCTGCTACTATTTTGACTATTTTAAACGGACTGAGGAGATTTCTGGCTGGGAAATTGAATTTTATACGGACCTTAATTCTTTCTGTTTCTTCTAAGAACTCAGCGCCGGCGTCAGTGCCAGCAAGCGGATCGGAAAGGAAGGCCTCCGGGCACGTGCTTCTCACGCGAAACTCCCTGCAGAACCGAACCCAAGTCCGAGCGAACCACCACGTCTCCCGCAGGGAGCGCCTCGTGGCGGAAGCTCCGGCGTCATCGGAGAGATAAACGGAAAGCTTCTCCGGTGGGTAGTCAAGAGCCATGACTGATAAAACCGTGTTCATCACTCCCAGAGCTGGCTCCCTCTTAGGATCCGCCGTGCAGACGAAGACGTCGATGCCCGGGAGCTCATTTCCGGGCGGCAACCTTTCGGGAAAGACGGTCCGGGTGACCGGCCGCCATGTGAAGGCAGCGCTGGAGAGCCAGAGAAAGGATAAAAATATCTCGGAAACAGATACCAGAAGCCAGGGTAAAGCAGCAGGTAAAAAGGGGGAAGAGAGCCTGTAGTAAAAGATGGATAATAAAGCTGCAGTGTGAATGAAGGCATGGGCTCTGTGGATGAAGGCTTGCCATTTGTGAACTTTGCAGCGGTGAAGGGGAAGATATTCCATCGACGTCAGTGACTCAGATCCTCTAGGCCCATAGAGTTTTGATCGAAGATCCAATATTGTCCCTTCTAATGACTTGGGAGTCTAGAATAAGAACAGAACTTAACAAATGAGACTTGAGTTCCTCAAATACTACCGACCTCAATTTCACTTTAAATTGATAAAAGGGGCAAATAAAGTCACGTATTAATCAAAAAGTGTAATTCTATATGCACCCCATTTTTACTAAATACACACAAATTTTTATAATTCCCACTTTGCCCTTTTCAAAGTGAGTGCGTAGCCTGGTGAAACTTGCAAACAATAAAGCAGCAATGCCGGTCCGCCCGGTCGCCATCATCATCCGCCCCACAGGCCATAGCTCTTCACTTTATTCTCGGTCTTGGTACTCATCTCAACAATTTCATACGCCCCCACAGGCCATAGCTCTTCTCTTTCATCATATCAAAAGACTGCTACTTCCATGTTCACCTTCTCCAAAATATAGTTCACCCAAACTGGAAAGTGGGAATCAGCAACATTGTTAGTTCACTCCAAAATATTTTGGGAATCGCCTTCTCCAAAAATGTTCACCCTCTTCAACAATTTCATACTGCAAAGTGGGAATCAACAACGTTTTACAAAAGCTCCAAAATATTCTTCACCCAAACACAAAACGATAGTTTCTTCTACGCATCCTATAGTTTGAAGATTTGCACTGAATTTGAGCAGATCAATGCAATCCTCAAGAGTACTGCTCCAATAGTGATGATGTCCCTGCGATGCCCAAAACCAAACAACAGTTAAGTTATCGGTGTTTCCAAATAGAAAGCGGTCTTCCCAGAACTTGAGTTTTTCTTCTTAGACTTTGGATTTTTCTTATCAATGAAGATTTTCAATGAATTTGAGCAGATCAATGCAATCCTCAAGAGTACTGCTCCAATCACTTGAACATGAATATCGTTTGGAGGCTTTCCCAGACCTTGAGTTTTTCTTCTTCGATGTGGAATGAACCGAACAGAAGAGAGGTCTTCCTTCCTCTTGGAGAACCATGGTCTGAACGAGTGGAGGCTCCACAAGAATATTTTGGAGAGGGCTTTATTTAGGTGGAAGGGTAGGATAGATATTTTGTTTATTTTGTGGCTGTAAATAGTAATTCTAGGTTTGTGAATAGAATTACCCAACCAAAAAAGGTCAAATAAGGCCTTATTTAAGAGTCTCTGTCCGGCCATCGCCATTTGAGGTGATTCCCGGTGAAATTTTTTGATGAAATTTTTTGAGCATCTTATTCAGTAAGTCTAGTTTACTTATGTCAAATTTCAGCTAAAACTTCAATCGGGAAGACATTCAAATGAATTCTTGGAGATAACTGCGCAGTTAAAAGCGCAGTTATCTTCAAGAATTCATTTGAATGCCTTCCCGATTGAATTGTTAGATGAAATTTGGTATGAGTAAACTAGACTTAATGAATAAGATGCTAAAAAAATCATCAAAAAATTCCACCGAGAACCACCCCAAATGGTGAAGGCCAGACAGAGCCTCATAAATAAGGCCTTATTTGACCTTTTTTTGGTTAGTACGTGACCTGATTTGCCCCTTTTCCCCTTTAAAGTTTAAACTACTAGGGTGACACACCGTTCCTCTGATTTTAGAGTAAGGATGACACACAAGTTCCATCAAATGAGACTTGGACTTTAGAATGGACCAAGGAAGTGTTAGTTCAGTTTTAATTATACTCTAATTAAAAGGGTATCAGTTTCATCTCAAGTTATTGTTTGGAATTTAATCTTGAATCTCTCCTTTATGGCACACTCTTCCTACCAGATGAGCTATGTCCTGGTGACTTCACTCTTTGATACTCCCTCCGTCCCACTAACAATGGGATAAGAGGGAGTGACAAAAATCTATAAAAAGTAATTTATGTGGTTGATATTGAATTGATAAAGTAAGAATAAAGTAAGAATGATTTAGTGTCACACAAACTTTATCAAATAAGGTAGAAACAATCTTAATGAGAAAGGCCGGAATGGTAAAACGAGACAATCTTAGCGGGACAGAGGTAATACGTAGTATTATTTTTGTAGAGAAATTCTACAAAATAAAGGCTCCAAAATAAATATTTATAAATAAAAATAGTAAAAATATCCAATCTACCTCAGTCTACACCATATACTTTCAAGCTTTTCGACTTCACTACACCACAGAATGAGCAGAGAAACAATCAAAGTTTCTGCAACACACAATGTCCTTAAAACTAATTTGTTATCTTCTGCGATGTTAGGAGTGTTGTAGTGTTAGTTTCACAGGATAAATGGCAAAAGAACATCTCTATTGAGCACTCAATAGGTTGCTCCGGTGAATTGGAACAAAGGGTAGACCAAAGTCGATGGTTAGGATTACAAGATGTGGTGATGATGGAAGCTAGGGGTGATGGGCTGGGCAACTAGGGTGGGTGATGGTGGTAGGTTAACGATTGGGGGCTGGTTTTATTGGTCGGGGCATATGGGGGTATGCATGCGGGAGTATGGGGTGGGGCTGGTAGCTGGAGTAGGCATGTGGGGCAATGGTGGGGCACTAGTGAAGGCAGTGGACTACTGATTACAGGTCACCAAGGCGATGGTGTAACATGTATTTTGATGATGAGAAACTTTCACTAGTCGGTAGTGAAAACTTACGGCAGCGATCACGGGTCACCAGCTCTGGTGCAACATTGCAGCAGCATGTGCTTAGGGTTGGATTCAGTAGGACTAAAATTATTGGACACTAGAATGACATAATAAATGTCCTATTAGTCACATTGTTTAGAAAATATTGAATATGATACTATGTTTATGTTTGAGTTTTTTTTGGTAAAATTATCTGAATCCGACTAAAATTATCTCATACCAAATTTGGTAAAATTTACGTGACTTTAAATCATTTTTATTTTATTCCTACTTTATCAATTTGATATCAATAACATGAACTCACATTTTTCTTAATAATTTCACATTCTTTAATGCGAAAGTAGTATTGTTTCTAGAGAAATGGTAGAGGTACCTCATTTTCTACCTCATTTTGTACCTCATCCTATGTTTTGTGGCTCACAAAAATCTAACCCAATTAAAATAATTGCTCCATTTTTACTCATTGCTTTTGTGAACCACAAACATATGAGGGGGTACAAAATGGGGTGACTTTAGCATTAGTGTTTTTTCTAAAGTCCCAACTAGAAAAGGCATCATTCCATATGAAGCTCGGATCAGGCCCATATAACTTGATTATCCAGCCCACCCGAATCTTAAACCCTAGGTCCGAAATAGAATTGCTGATTATTACCGAGCATGATACACATATAATGAAGACCGACTACATTAGGAAACCTAGCAGCCGGCCTCATTCTTCCTGAGAAAGTAGCACCGAAGCTTGCATCTTTCGTGCAACCAGCAATGGTAGAAGTCTATTCTAATGCATCTCTCAATCTATATGTCTATTGCCACGACTGTGGTTGATTGTTTCTGAATCTATATGTTCACGAAATAATATATGGATTTTGATAACAGGCTGACGTAGAACACGATGTAGCGGCAGGGCAGCCAAAGAAGAGAACGTTCAAGAAGTTCAGCTTCAGAGGTGTGGATCTTGATGCCCTCCTTGATATGTCTACTGATGATCTCGTCAAGCTCTTCAGTGCCCGTGCCCGCAGAAAGTATGCGGTGGCTCCTGTTCTGAAACTATTTTGATGCTTCGCTTATACTACGTACAATGTTGTTTTTGAATTGATTTCGTTTGTGTGGAATGATAGGCTTGGGAGAGGTTTGAAAAGAAAGCCTTTGGCTTTGATTAAGAAGCTTCGCAAAGCGGTATGCTCATATTTTCCCTTCCTCTTATGTCACTAAATTTTGATATATATGACCTCCGTTCCCTTACTTAGGTACATCAAGTGGTGTTTTTCTTATTAAGAAAAGTAAGTTATGTGGTTGATACAGAACTCAAAAAGTAAGAACACAATTAGAACGATTTAGAATCACGCAAAAATCACCAAATTTAGTACTCGACTATCTTAGTAAGACAGGTTGAAAAGTAAAAAATGGTACAATCTTAGAGGGATGGATGGAGTAGCATCTTATTCCAAATTATTATTATTATTATTATTATAAATGAGGTACATGTATTCTAGATAGTATCTTTTAACTGATAGTTCTGAGTTTGTAACTGTTGATCCGTGTTAGAAATGCATAACATTCATACCATGATTTATGAATTTGTGGGTCCATTTCATTGGTTTTTAGTAAGGACTTTAGAGGTGTTTTTACAAAATTATCCTTGATGAAGAATTATTGTTTTATAGCTCAAGCCGTTTCCTTAAGTAAGTTGGAGTAGTCCCCGAGCTCAGATCTTATTAATCTGCTAAATTTAAAATTTTATGAAGGCTTATGTCAGAGGTTACTTATATGTTTTTGTAGTTTTGAATCCGTAAATGATTTGAGAAACGCCTAAGGCCGAGCCCTTTCCCCGTGAAAGAAGGGGTGGGGTGGTATTCCACAGAGAGGGTATTATTTTGTGGCGCATCTTTGATGTGATAGGCGGATATTAATTTATGGGCATTCCTTCAACACTCAGCATCAAGTTCACTGCATAAGTGAGAGGATGGCCCTATATTTGTTTTTTTGCTCATGGCAAATTGAACTCCCCTGAATTCCTAATATAGTTCAACTAGGGTCTGTCTAGTACTTGAAAAATATGAGATGGAAGTAAATTAGTCGTGAAAATAATCATATGTAATGAAAATGCGAGTGAAATGAAGTAATGTATTGAACTTTATTACTTTATTTTTATGTTTGCTCAAACTTATTTTAAGTGCAGCTTGCTGTGTACAAACCAGTGCTGGACTCGGGCCGGGCGGCCCGGCCCGGAACTGGCCCGGCCCGGTTACTGTTTGGCCCGGCCCGGGGCCCGGTGGGTCCGCCGGTTCGGTTCGGCCCGGCCCGGCTGCTGGGCGGTTCGGGCCCGGGCCCAGGTTTTGGTGAACCGGCCCGGCCGGTTTGGGCCCGGTCCGGGCCGGATTTTAATTTTTTTTTTTTTGAATTTTTTTAAGTTTTAGGTTGGATTAGGTATTTTGGGCCATTTGAGGTGGTTTGGGATGGTTTGGGGTTGAGGGGGAGGGGTAGGGGATTAAATAGGAGAACAAAAAAAAAAAATTAATTGGGCCGGTTCGGCCCGGCCTGGTTTGGCCCGGGACCGGAACCGGCCACCGGCGGTTCGGGCTCGGGCCTCCCTTTCCTGGCCCGAGGCCCGGCCGGGCCCAGGCCCGAACCGGGCCCGAACCGGCCCGAGTCCAGCACTAGTACAAACCTAAAATATTTAAAAGATCATCTAAAATGCGTAGTATATGTTGTTGTCCTCGGTGTTTTCTGTCCTATAAGAGACATTACATTGAAAAAATAACCTCACGTATAATTTTTTTTCTTTTTTTCGTTTACCAAACATTTTTTCGCCTCTCAAGTACACCTTAACTTACAGTCCTATAAGGTTTTGCCAAATTTGATTACAGCTTGCTGTTTGATATAAACAATTAATGCAGAAACTAGAGGCCCCACAAGGGGAGAAGCCGGATCCAGTGAAAACTCATTTGAGGAACATGATTATTGTTCCAGAGATGATTGGTAGTGTTATTGGAGTTTATAATGGGAAAACCTTTAACCAGATTGAAGTGAAGCCGGAGATGATAGGGCACTACTTGGCTGAGTTCTCCATTTCATACAAGCCTGTCAAGCATGGTAGGCCCGGTATTGGTGCTACTCACTCATCAAGGTTCATCCCGCTGAAGTGATGCAACTCATTTCAGAGTTCTGCTTTTTGGGGAAACATCAGATCTATTTTAATTAATATTTCTATTTCTCTCAACACATGTAATAGTGAAACTAGTTTTCATTTGAGCTTACAGACAGTTGATGGCGGAGTGATTGTACTTGGTCTGTTTTTACAAATGGGAAGCTCTTGATAGCTTTATGATTTTGGTATTGGTTACTTAATCTCATCTAATTTTGTCATTGGTTTAAGTTTATGAATATCTGCCTTGGATTTTCAAAGGCTTCTGCAGTTCTGCTCTATGAACTGCATAGTGGATTAATTGGTAGGAATATCAATTGTACGGTGTGGACAGCGTTTGTACATAACTATTGATGTAAATGAATGATGTTTTCATTTGAATTGTTTTCCACCTCAAACTAGACTTGTTATGTTTGGCACAATGGTCTGGAGTTGGAGGCTAATGTTTGAACCAGGGACTTTTGTTTGAATGAGATAGTATTGTTTGGCAAAAAGCGATAACAAAAAGTGCCAGTTAATGTAATTTTTTTTAGCAAAAAATAAAGTTTTATTAAAGAACTTGGTAATAAAAATTAAAAAGTACATCCGCTTAGGGATGGACTCGGACCGGGCGGCCCGACCCAAAACTGGCCCGGCCCGGTCACTGTTTGAACCGGCCTGGCCCGGCCCGGCAGCCCGGCCCATGGGCAGTTCGGGTCGACCTGGCCCGGTGGCTACCGGTTCTGGGCCCGGGCCTTCATTTTGGTGAACTGGCCCGGCCGGTTCGGGCCCGGTCCGGGCCGGATTTAATTTGTTTTTTTTTATTTTTTTTTTAAGTTTTTGGGTTGGATTGGTTATTTTGGGCCATTTGAGGTGGTTTGGGGTTGAGAGGGAGGGTAGGGGGTTGATTAGGAAAACCCAAAAAAAAAAAAAAAAATCGGAACCGGACCCGGCCCGACCCGGACCGGACCCGGGGTTACCCGGGCCGGTTCTGGGCCTCCCCTACCTTGAACCGAGGCCCGACCGGTTCAAGGCCCGAACTGGGCCCGGCCCGGAACCGGTCCACCACTACATCCGCTAATGAAATCTAAAGAAAACCGCTAAAGAAAATATAAAATTATTGAGGAAACCAAATCAACCAAAAATCCTGGCGCTCGCCAAAGATACAAAACCAGCCGGTTCAAAAAAAAAAAAAGATACAAAACCAGCAAGAAACCAAAGAACCTAGTCATGAAAACCATATGATTTGTTTTTTTTGGCAACCAAGGCATATGATTTGTTAATCGACAAAAATATTTACTATTATGATATTTATTTTTAACATAGGGATTTGTTAAATCTGCTGAGTATGTGGGAATTGATGAAACTGAGGCTAAAATATTTGAATTTGCTCAATCTGTTGAAATATGAAAAAAAAAATTAACATGTATTTTATTAATGAAATAAATATAAAAACATGAAAAATAATTAAAATGATCGTCTACACAACTTCAACCAATTAGCCATAAAAGTAAAACTAATAATACGAAAATATGAATTTTAAACATTTGTCGTCAATTTCACTGTAAACAATGACAAAAGAAGTAACATACGCAAGATTTATTTTTCAAAAATGGTAGAGGTACATCATAAGTACACCATGATGTACATGCTATTTATTTGCTCCTCTCATCCCTTCTTTTATTCATCTCCTCTCCTCCTCCCCCATTCACACTGCCCTCATCATCCCCCTATCCAACATCTTTAATCTTCGCCATTTTCAACATGTCATATTTTGTGTCCATGTCGTATTGTGTCATCTTTGATCTCACCTACCATGATTATCGTCAGAGTTATAGTCACCAGAAGTTCACCTGAAAATAAATGGAGTCATTGTATACATACACTATTTTTCTTCCAGTGTCGATGTGCACAGATAAAAAATGTTATAAAAAGTCAGAGTTCGGTTACACTGAAACAAATGCCTGTATATGTACAAACACTTTTTTGTATATACAGACAACTAACAAATAATGTCTATGTATAAAGACATTGGTTCTCATGCAACTACCCTGACATTTTTGGTCATTAGTTGTATGTGATTTACAACTATGTGATTTACATGCAAACCATGTCTTTGTACACAAAGACATGTGTGTACACAAAAATCATGTAAACTATGTGTGTAATATTCTTTTTTGAGTCACATACAAGTATATAACTTGACTCTATCTTAGTTGTTAGTACAGACAAAAGTACTCATACATCTTTTGTTTGAGTAAACTGGCATTGGTTTCAGTACAACCAACCTGACAAATCTACAAACAAGTGTTTTAATCAATCTGCAAACTAAATTTTGTTCACAGGCTGATTTTATTTTATCAAATATCAACCATTATTGTTTATTTTTTACACCGACCATTATTGTTTATTTTTGGGAAAAGAGTGAGATAGACCCTCGAACTTACACAAAAAGTGCAAATTACCCCTTATATAGGAGGCTCTGTTCGGCCATTGTCATTTGGGGCGGTTCCCGGTGGAATTTTTGATGAAATATTTTGAGCATCTTATTCATTAAGTCTATTTTATTCATACCAAATTTAAGCTAAAACTTCAATCGGGAAGGTAGTCAAATAAATTTTTGAAGATAATTGCACAGTTAAACTGCACAATGTATTTTAGGAAATCATTTGACTGTCTTCCCGATTGAATTTTTAGCTGAAATTTGGTATGAGTAAATTAGACTTAATGAAGAAAGTGCTCAAAAAATTTCATTAAAAAATTTCACCGAAAACCGCCCCAAATAATGACGGTCAGACAGAATCTCCAATATAAGGATGATTTGCACTTTTTATGTAACTTCGAGCGTTTATGTTACCCTTTCCCTTTATTTTTTGATACATTCAAATGATACTTCCTTCGTCCCTTAAAACTTTGTCATGTTTGACCGGTATGAAGATTAATAAAGTAAAAATTGTGTGGTTAAGGTTTCTGCAAAAAAGTAGCATATTTTTATAAAAAAGTGCGGATCTCATTTGTAGACTACGGTCAACTGCCAGGCATCAGTATCACTCCCAACTCTCATTCCCCAGCTGGTCCACAAGCTCGCACCATCCACCACGAATGTCGTCTCCACCATCAGCAACCGCCATTCCTCTTCGTCCATGGCACCAATTCGCGGACTCTGCAGCTTTAAGCCTCCCTATCTCCTTATCAGACGCTACCTATCGGATCAACCATAACATTAGGTACTTCGTCGGGAATTACGTCGTTCTCTTGTTCTTCATCCTTCTTGTCAGCCTCATCTCCCGACCCCTCACTCTCATCTTCTTCCTTGCCATATCCGCTTCATGGATCTACCTCTATCTGTCCCGATCTGAGCCTCTAGAGCTATTCGGCTTCGACATCGATGACCGCATCATCTTAGGGTTTCTCTGTTTGATCTCTCTGATCGCAATGTTCGCGTCCAGAGTTTGGAGTAATGTGTTCATCTCGGCGGCCATCGGAGTTGTTGTAGCTTGTGTGCACGCCTCCTTGAGGGCTCCAGAGGATCAAGAGGCTTCACCTTACGAAGGACTGATTGATGTCTTGGATAGCCCTAGAGGTGATTATGCTAGGGTATGAGCTTCCTTGCTTTGGGTTAATGCTTAGTAAACCCGAATTGAACTGGCTTCTGGAATAGTCAAATGGACTGTTTGGTAAATGGTTTCAATCTCGGATAGCTTTAGGCATTTCTATGTAGTGAAAATGGCAGTGTTTCACATATCTCAATTGCAAATGTTCACAACTCCAATATTGAATCAATGCTGATTTTACCTAATTTCTGAAATGTATTTGCTAAATCACATCTTCATCTTTTTGGGCTTTATAGGTTTATTTGATATTTCAAAGTCCCACCACCCACTACCTCTTCCCTTCATTCATCATCTATGTGATGCTACACTGTTTGCCTTGCCTGGTTTCATTTTTGTTTTCCCCAGTAATATCAGAAGTGCTAAATGCTAATCATGCTATGTCTAGCTGTTCACCCTCTAAATTTGGCGGAATTCTTATATACTACGTACTTTATTCTGATCAAGAAGATTAATACAATTAGATGCAATCATGTACTGCTATCTTTTTGTTTCATTTTGTTTGAAACACTTTCTGTACTTGTCCCTCCCAAGTTGTGATTACTTCCCTAATTTGAATGCATTCCACTTTGTACCTTTTTGTGGAACCCAAAATTATTTTCTTCCTTTTAAAATGTGTACAGTTGCCCTTAATTTGCATAAAAAATGGGTCAAATCTGAATGTACAGGGGGAGTAATATTTTAATCTTCCAGTTTTTTTTTAAACCTGAGATGTACTTCAAGGTGTAGACTAAGACATCCAAAGCCTTTCCCTCCAACCCTGCATCCAAACATACCCTCAACAGTCAACACTCAACAGTTTTCTTTGGACGATTCAATCCAAATACACACATTACCATTTTGAGCAAAATTGACAAAAACCCTTGAGTCTTGGGGTTCAAATGTTCAGTAAGGGTGGTTTTCACATTTTTGCTAGGCTCCATTTTTATTGGTTTATATTAGTGGACTCTTTTACTGCTACCATTGTTAGACACACACACATTGCAATAAATAGTTTGTCTATACCTACAAAACATTCTGTTAGAATCTCACACCGGAAAACTTTGAATCAACAAAGTACTATATTAAGACATGAACTACTCCTCCTATCAGGTTGATCTTTTAGGATGGAATCCCAGATCTTAACACATTCAAAACTTGTTCGGTAAGGGTGAATTATGTTGAAACTGTAAAATTGAGTCATTGTAAAAAAAATGGCTGATACTATTGAATTGTTGAATAACAAGAAATAATAATTAAAATGTATTTTATGGATAAACGGAAGAGAAGAATACTATAACAAAAAGTTATAGTAGTCATTTACAACAGCTTCAATCAGTTTTACTTATTGCTAGAAAAACGTACTATAGATCTGTTAACCCCTTAGCGTACAGATAACTTGGAAAAAAGTGCTATCAAAGGGATGCGGTGTCCACAATGATTCGGGGAATCGGGGGCACTATGCATATGACTAGGTCTGCCTCATCTAGACTCGAGTTGATCTGTTAATCTCTTTTAGAAATCTCAAAATGAGGATTGGAACAAAGCCGGGGGTAGCCGGTAGGTGTGCATAACTCAAAAGCAACATATGTTAAAGTTAAACAGGCTTGGGTCAATCTGATCAAAATAACATGAACGGAATAGAGCTGTCTATTGGGACGTTCAGTTTTTGCTTTTTTGTTCTCTTTTTGCACTTGGACAACACATTCGCTCCCATTTCAGTACTTCACATTATCATATACTCGTAATGTTCTCACTTCTCAGCACATTATCAGACTCGGTATATTCTTTAATTTGCTACAAAATATATTCAACCAAAGTATATCTGAATGTAATGCTCAACATTCACGGTGAATAAGGCAAACCAAACAAACCAAGTCAAAAACAGGGTCCAAGACGACAGACCTTTTTATCTAAAAGAAGAGAATATGAATGATCAGCGTCAAACATATTTTCATGACTCGATTATTGCTTTAGTAGTTACTTGGTATGTGGTAAAATCATGCACATGGAAATGTGATTTTATGAGGTCATCAGATCAAATAAATTAAAATACAAGATTCCTTTTTCTCAACCACGAACCTTCCCACTAATGTGTATATATTCGTTCAATCACCAGTCAAACTACACAGGTGTAAGTTGATCCAAAACTTCCATCACTTTGAAAAGAATAATGAGAGTATTGTATAGTATGTTACATTTTTTGTTGCCCCATCCATGTAGGCATTTTGGCATATATGATCAAATGTCCCTTTGGAAGAGATTTATGATCCAACAAGTCCCTTATGGCGAGCATAATATACAATTAGAATAAAAAGCAATACACAAAAAGTCCCTGTGACAATGACCACCTGCCACCAATAACAACAACAATAATAATATCTACAGTTAATCGCAAAGACCGAAACAGAAGAAACCCGTTTGGTACCCAGAAGTGTCTGATTCTTACTTAAAAGCAGAATAAATAAGCTTCTGACTTTCTTTTTTTACACAAAGCTTCTCACTTACTAATTTGCCCAAAATTGATTTTACCGAATGCTTTTCTGTTGTTTATAAAACTCAATAGATTCAACCACGTTAGGCACATAACCCCCTTACCAAACAGGCCCACGATATAGAAAATGTGTGATATTGAAGAGAGCTAGCTGCTCACCCATTTAAACATGTATCCATGACTTTCATTCCAAGAAAATGGGATGTTCATTCCAAATATTCCAGCCACCAAAGAATATATAGACATAACAACCGTTCCTGAACTGAGAAAGAGTTCTAGCTGCAGGCCATATAACACAGAAAGTAATATTAGCAAGTTTTGTATTATATTTTCATTAGGAGGCGAGCACTATTTGGCTATGTCTGGAACACAAACTTACATGTAGTCTTTACATTTCTACAAGTATTTATATTTCTCAGTCTTCATATATTCGAAAATATCAATCAAACGTGCTTGAACAAATATCTAAGATCCATTCATAAAGTTGAACTGAGCCCCCCCCCCCCCCCCCCGATTTTTTTTTCCTCCCAAAATTCTTATTCATTTTCCTCCCTATGTTTCCCTTGCATTTTCAAGGTTCTTAACGATTATATGAACACTTTGTGATGAGAGGCACAATCATACACTTCTTAATAAATACCTGAATGAGCTGATTTCGGTGATTGTCAAGCTGGTAAGACAAAAAGGCATAGCTGCTTTAGACAAGTTTGTACTCAACTCTAATATTACTTTATTGTAATTTCAATACCTGAATGTTAATGTAATCTTCTGTATTATCAATATATTCACGTAGCTGCAAAATAAGTAAATAAAATAATCATAGCGAGTCATTATACCTCAACAAACTGTAACAAACAAAGTTATATTTCACCGACACCTTTTTCTGCAGCTAATAGCAATTATTATAAACTTCCGAAATATCAAAATCCATGAACAATTCATTACCAGGAAACTATCTACAGTGACTTCATACTCTATCATTCTAAGTTTAGCCATCACCTAATGTGACAAAGATAATATAACAGGACTCGGGTTTATTTGAACAAAAACTAAATAAGAGCAAGAAGGTTTATAAAATTCCACGAGGAAATGATCATGCTCTAAGAAAATGTACTCCCTCCGTCCCACTATCTTTGTCCCGAACTTCTTTTCTGTTTGTCTCAAATTTGTGGGGTTCAAACTCATTCATACTTTGGTACATAATTTCACTTTATTTATATGCATGTCACATTCTCATATCCCAAAGATAGTGGGACAGAGCTAGCATATGGTACTCACAGCGTCCAACTTGAGACTAGGATAATGGTTCGAAAATAGAGAAAACTGAGATTGTGTGGTTGATATTTAATTACTAAAGTGGACATTGAATTACACATATATGGTGTGAGACACATGATGGGACGGACCTAATTAAAAAAAGGGACAAACATATTGGGACGGAGGGAGTAAATCTGAACCAAACTCTGTTTAGTAAAAATCACATATGTAGTACTCACATGAAAGAGACAAATGAAAAACAAAGAGTGAAGTCCACTTACTGTGTTTAGCTTATTCAATGTTCCATCAATTTGCATGAAGTAAGCCTGTAATAGAAGCAGCAGCCACTCAAATTTCAATAAGAAATATTACAAATTCCTTTTTTCAAGGAAAATGACACTCCATATATATATTTATTTATACACACACACACACATGGGAAAGGCTTCAATGCGAATTCTGAATGAGGCCTAAAGCTTTAAAAGTGGTGCTCTCCCCTTTTGTGCCACTATAAAAGGATATTGGTATAACTCCATTCCAATTCATGCATTTGACACCCTTTTCCACATCGCGCGCACACATGGCACATGTAAGCAGTACAATGATCCGAAATGGAAAGAGCAGAGGTCAATGGATTTTCATTGAATAGATTGCATGAAATAGTAATAGTATGCAATTACCAACATAACTCTAATATTTCCATTTTACAAAAAAGAAGGTTCACATAAAGCAGATGGCTCCATTCCAATTCAGGAATTTGACACCCTTTCCCACATCACACACATGGCACATGTAGGCAGTACAATGATCCAAAATGGAAACAGCACAGGACAATGAATTTTCATTGAACATATTGTATGAATTAGTAATAGGACTATGTGCCCGACTAGTTCCTGCCTTGGTGCTAGGCAGTGGCCAGACGTCCCTATTTTAGTCTAGGCATGTCATATAGTTGGTTTGTTGCCTGGCTGATTTAGTCGGCCGCCTAGTTGCCAGCCCATAGCATCTAATCGACCACCTTGGGCATCTACATTCACCAAACATTTTTTGCTTTTTAGATTAAGATGAAAACTATATATGTTTGTATAATGTATATATTTTTAAATTTAAATATTATTTAATATTTATAACATGATAAACTTAAGTGATTAGTTATAAGGGAAAATAATATAGATACCGCAAACTTTGAATGGGTGTGAGATAAATACCCCAAACTTGCATATATAATATATATACCCCAAACATTATATAAAAAGTTATTTTCACACCATGTTTATATGTTTTTACAAATATAAATTTATTGCAATACGTACACAATTTAAAATACTCTAACATTTATTTGAATGCAGTTAACATTCTAAAATTTCATTTGTGAAATAAATAATATTAATCCGGTACAATCTAATTTTAATTGAATCCTCATAAGTGCTTTGTGTGTTTTAATTATGTATTTAACACCATAAAATTATTTTTGTGAAAAATATATGATCATGATGCTAACATAACTTTTTATGTAAAGATTGGATCATTGGGATATATATATTACATGTGCAAGTTCGGGGTACTTGCCTCACACCCCTTCAAAGTTTGGGATATTTAAATTATTTCCCCCTTAGTTACAAATTATAATACGTAGTATATTATTACTTGTAATTTCCATCATATGCGATGAAGCCAAAGACTCACTATTTTTTGGCTTAAGAATATGATGGAATAAAGCAAAATGGCTCACTAAACTGTCTTCTTTGTTATGAAGCAGCAGCCAATCTATGTAATTTTTGATGCGATTTTCACTATGGGTCATCCGGAAACAGTCTCCTTACTATAGTATAGGGGTAAGGCTGCGGCACTGGGGTAATGATGAAGAATGAAGTATATTATTACTTGTAATGATTCAATCATTCATGCATGTTAATGTGTGTGCATATATAGACACACAAACACAATATTACTAAATTGGGCTGGCGCCTAGGTGCTAGATGTTGGGCTGGCGCCCCACAGTAATAGTATGCAATTACCAACATCACTCTACTATTTCCATATTACAAAAAGGGGGGGTCACGTGTGGGGAGCAATCCACTTTTTCCAACAATTATGTATGAAGAAAGCTCTGCTACTGCTACTGCTAGACGCAGACACTTTTGTAGTAAAAGGCACTTGAGAACTTAAAGAACGTGTAAGCATTTTTCTATGTATTTCTATTATAAAATACTAACAATGTCCTTATATATGATATGGATTTTAGTTGAAATCACTCACATAAATTTTAAATTCAGATAGAAGCAATAAAACATTTAGCACCAAATTTACTTGAGTAGAAGTGTAGAACTCTTACTTCTAGTAGCATCTCTAGATCTTCAATGTCATTTTCATCCCCTCGGACAGTTGCAATACTTGCCCGACTAGCTCTTGATATCTTTGAGCCAATTGTCGGTGAAGCCAGAAGCCAACTGGCAGATACACTTACAGGTGAAGAAGCACCAGTAAGTTTTCTAGACAAATAAAGATCTGCCATATCATCATCATCGTCCAGGAGTTGTTCCAGTTCATCTCTCACCTTCAATCAAGCAGAGAATAAAACAACCAGTGATGAATGATGTTCAGAATAATTTATCCAAAGAACTACTAAAGACCCTCCTGCCCCCTTTGAAGAAAAGAGTCGTGTTTCAAAAACTTCTGTTTCAAAAAAAGATTCTCAATTTAAAAGGCAGCACCTTTTTAGTCCTAGGTCACACATAACATGTACAAATGCATGTACAGCCACACTGCAAGTGGTTGAAAACAATTACTCAGCACTCTTGGAAATAAGTTCTAGGGCTAAAAGTGAACATTTAAAAAATTGTAAAATGTTTCCTCTAATATAGAGTTGATTCAACAAAGGTTAACTTACTTCAAACGTGCCTCTTTTTTGAACTATATAAATTCAATGAAGCTAATCAAACCCCAAGCATTAGTTACTTTCTTAACAAAATCAACTATGAGAAGCCTGGAAGACAATACACATTAAGCATTGCTGAAGCACTAGAATACTAAAACTAACCAAACAAATTGCAAATGTATTTTAAAGAAAGTAGCAAGTTACAAATCACATATTTCATTTACCGACTGTATAAAATCATTCCATCATGCAAATACAGTTTGCTATAAAGGTATTCTTTTTAGAACAAAAAATTTGAATCAAACTATAAATACAGCATAAGATGTGCTTATACACCTATTTTCATTGATACCCAATCTCATAGGTATTATTACCTTTTGCACACGAGCAGTCAACCTTGTCATTTGACTCTTTAGCTTCCGAACTCTGTCCAAATTTTTGCTGCTAATCTGCAAGAACAATAGATTGTAAAAGATACAGCACAAATAAAATGATTGGCACACTAACCAAAATAATTTGGTACATGAGTTAAAATGGTTTATAACAACAACAACAATACACAGTAATAATGATAATAATGATTATGATATTGTTCTTATTCACCTTGGAGGTAAGCATATCCAAAGCTGGGTAGACATCAGTCTCAAGATCCATTGTCCTGGCAGCAAGAAAACTGCATATGGCCTCTAAAGCAATCTCCAAGGCCCTGAACTCAAATGGAGATTCTGCATAAAATCAGGCAGAAGTAAAATTTTAAATTAGGGGGAGGGAGGACAAAACATAACTCAACATGCTATCAAAGCAAAAAGTCCTACTTGACAAAAATGTAAAGGATACCATCTTCTTCAGCTGTTTCAACATCATGCTGAGCATTGGAATCTTTGCCTTCCCCTTGATCTTCATGATTTGCAATTACAGGCTTCAGACGTCTTCTGAGTTCCTCAACTACAGGAGTAACATTTTCGTCTGATGGATCACGAAGAAGCACCTGGCCATCCCAATAAAGAAGTTAACAAACTACCCCCCTTTGTGATTTCAGAGGGAGAATATAAATATGCTTCTATGAGAAAATTTCTCTATAGCATAACTAAAAATGACAAAACTAAATATTCCATAACAATGATCCACAGTGGTTATAAAGCCTAAAAGAATCCCAAAAGGACTCCGAATTGAAAGAAAAGAAACAAAGATTACCTCTTCAGATGTAATAATAGCCTTGATATGCTGCCCTTGACAAAAGAAATAAAAGATCAGCAAACGAAGTGATAAGACCACGAAAGATCATCAACTTTAAATCGCAACCAAGTTATTCGATCAGGAGGTGAACAGAACAACCAGTGACCAAGAATACAAAAATTACTAAAGAGAGAAACAGAAAGCCTATGAAACTTAATGCATTTAAATTACGAAAAAAAGGCACTAAACTTCAAGCATTAAATTGAAAGGGGCGCTCAATTCAAAGTTTCATACTCACAGTAGAAGAAGAAAAAATAAAAAAGAGCAGGAGAAGGAAGTGAACCTCTAAATTGAGAACAATGGCGCGTTCACGGCCGAGTATAGTGGAGGGGTAGGAAAGAAGGGGATCGAGAATCCGGAGATCGCGCGCGTGGATTTGGACTCGGTGCATGATAGCGTACTTGTCGACATCGAGAAGAATCTCCTGGCCGGAAGCGTCCATCAGCAGCCAGCTCCGCGACCCAGCAACTTTCTTCTTCGGATCAGCCGGCACCAAGTAGCCGCCCTCTCGACCCATCACCATCACTAACCATCCCCAGAGAAAACAACCACCTCGGCCCAACCAAATTCCAACTTTATACAAAATTGCTATCTGGGTATGATGGTCGTACTATGTACGTAAGTAAGATACGAATATGCACGTTCCGCAAGTGGGAGGAGAGAGCAAACCCTAACGATCAGAGAGAAAGGGATCACATGGCTATAATGAAATCGAAATCAACAAATAGGGGTGGTTGGGTCTTGTTCGTATTTGTATGGAAGAAAAACAGAGAGCGGGAGAGGGGAATATCTGTGTATTGCCTCGCGGGCCTGGCCTCAGCCGCCGCCATCAATTGATTTGTATCTCCTCTTTCGGTATTCTCCAACATACGTATTTTCCAAAAATAGACAAATAGATTTTCGCATTTACTCCTCCTTTTGAGCGTTTTGTTCAGCAGGTTTCGCGTTTGAGTAATCAGTTGTTACGTGTTTTTGTAAGGTGAAAATAATTCAAATAATTCTTCATCCTGGACTACGGGGGTTTTGGTACGGTATACCGAATATTTTATCCCATACATTTATCATATCATAAATTTTCGGTATGCAAAAATACATACCGTTACCATACCGAAAATTTTGGTATACCTTGTTTCGGTATACCAAAATTTCGGTACGGTAAGGTACAGTATCGGTAAATTATCATGATTTAATATAACAAAATATTATATGTCAAATAAAATATTGAAAATTAGTTTTAATAGTGATATACTACAATCATTAATGAAATTAATTATAAAATACCAATGATAATCTATTGGTGTTCTATTGAACTTTGAACAAAAAAAATTATAATTATGTTTAGATATTTCAACACTTGATACATGAAGATAACAAAACATTATACTAAAAAAATTTAAACAACATAAATATAATTAAAATAAAACTGATCATACAAAAAGTATAAAACTGATCAACAAAAAGTATAAATGATTCAAGAAAGATGGATATAAAGTCATTTATCCTTGAATTAGTGTTGTGTTTCTAGTTATTTTTATAATTTTAAATAAATTATTGGCTTGGAATTCGGTATGACGGTATAGCGGTATACCGTTTATTTCTAAACTATATACCGATGTCATACCGAAGTAATTTGGTACGGTATCATATCATACCAAAAGTGTCAGTATACCAAACATTTTGGTAAATTCGGTATTTTTTGATATGGTAAGTCCAGGCCCGGCCCTAAGGGAGTGCAAGTGGTGCAGTGGAACAGGGCCTCCACTAAAGGAGGGCCCCCAATTTTAATTCATAGTTTAGTACCATTAGTTAGAGCAAAAAAAAAGATTAGAATATTTTTTTTTAGAGAAAGATTATAATATTTAGGGAAAACTGTCAAATAAGTCCTCATACTATAATCAAAACGTCAATTAAGTCCTCGTACTATCAAAATACTCAATCAAACCCTCCAACTATTAAAAAACATCCAATCTAGCTTTTTAGGTATCACCAAACAGGTCCGTAATATAAATATCTCGAACTTTATATAAAAAGTTATACTAGCACCCATAATCATATAATTTTTCTTTGACAAATGTAATTTATGCTGCTAAGTACACAATTAAAATATTTGCATTTGTGAGGATGCAATTAACATGTGTGTGTTAACGAACTATTAGTTATTCCATAATAGAAGCTAAGAGCTTGAGTGCTAGTTGCATTCTCATAAATGCTAAATGTATTTAAATTATTTATTTAATGCCACAAATTTACATTTGTGAAAAAAATATCATATGACCGTGGTGCTAACATAACTTTGTATAAAGCTCGGGATTTTTTATTACATGCGTAAATTTTGGGGTGTTCCCTCCACACCCCTTCAAAGTTGGGAATATTTGAAATGTTTTTCTCTCTTTTTTAATTATAATGAGAATATTAATTAAGAAAAAACTCTCCCAGAATGCTCATTTACAAAACTTCATTATTTTAAAATATACTACCATTGTCTCTTATTTAAGTTCACGGTTAGATCTTCACAATCTCCAACATCAACTAATTAACGTATGACCATTGATATATAAAAATATATACTCCGTACTTATAAAATTTATAGGGAAAGGGTGAAATAGGCCCTGCTACTACACTCAATCAATCACTTAAACCTCTTTACTATAAATAATATCATATAAATACACTTATTTTAGAAAATTGATCAATTAGGTCATTTAATCAGATTTTGCCATGTAATAGCAGTTTTTTTTATTGGAAAACTCTAAAAATTGTTTTTTTTAAAGAAAGAGCTCTAAAAATTGTTAAAATTTGAAGAAATACAGATAAAAATTGTTAGAATTTTCAATATTTTAAAATCAATATTTTTTGCATTTTGAAATTATTTGTATATTATGCATCTAATTAAAAGGCTTTTATATTATTATTTTATATTTTTTTACATTTTTACTTTGTTTTTTTCTATTTTTTAATGCTTTTACATTATCTATCTATTTTTGCTTTTATACTATTTTTATATAATTTTTACATTACTTTTCAAATTTATACGAATTTTTATAAGATTTTGCAATAGTCCTAAATTGTTTTTTAAAAGTGACATGCTATAATATGTCCAAATTGTTTGATTGATTGTATTTTTAAAGTAAGGGTACTACTTACAGATAAAAGAAAAAAATAGAGGAGGGGAGGAGGAGGAGGAGAAACTTGTTTTATTATTATTTTATCAATTCAATATCAAGCACATTAACTCACATTTATTAATAATCATATCACCTTCTCATGTCAAATTGTTAGTGGAACGGAGGTAGTAAATTTTATCTTCCACAATGCAACTATATGAATTAAACAATTCATGTGAACTGACGAATATGACGAATTTACTAATTTCAAGTTTTTCTTTCAGATTTTTTTGCATTTGTTTGACATTGTATCGTATTGTTCCAAAACGACATAATGATGAAAGGTTTTGATCATAGAACCGAATGGTTAAAGACTTCACGGGTACTAATGTTGATATCCATGTTACGAACAACCGAACATAGTTCTTTTTTACATGTCCTACTTTGTTTTTAAATTTTTTAAATTTTGTGCACTTCAGACGTACGGAGAGTTCTCTCAACACATTCTCTCTCTAGGGTGGATTTCCAACGCTAGGGTTTTTCCCTTACTATCGTTTGTAACGAGGAGCGGCCGCCGCAGGCGGGCTTAGACGTATAGGATTTCTTCTTCCGCCATCAATTGTGCGGCTATTTTTCTTACATGGCTTTGGCAAGATTAAGCCGGGGTAATAGAATGATTGGTCTCCAGTGGCCGAAGATTGTGCAGGGACGGAAGATGGATGCTTGGTCTCCGGCGGCCAAATATCATGGACGAAGTGTGGGGCTAGAGACTGGAATAGGTTTGGATTCGAGGATGAATAAGAGGCAAGATGAGGAAGAAACTACAGTACTGCTGGATCGTCCCACTCCTGAACTGCCGTCATGGAGTGGAAGAGAGTCCAGGGTTTGAAAGCATCTTTTTAATTTTACCGTTTGCTTACGACTTATTTTTCATGATCAGACTGCTTATTTGTCTGTTGGTTACTTTTATTATTGTAAGACTCTTACATTAGGATTGGGTGATGGTAGGCCTGCTATAACCGTCATTGGCTCATTTATGCTAGACCTGCACAAACGCGGGTTCGGGCCGGGCTCGGGCCAGGTTTATTCTAAAAAATCTGCCCATTTGTAGTGGACGGGCCCGGCCCGGCCCGGTACAACGGGCCTCCTCATATGTCCAAGCCCGCCCAAAAGAGCGGGCCGGGCTGCCCGCCGGGCTTTCGGGCCCGGAAAAATTATCCTCTTTCTATTTTTTTTTTTAAAAATCGTAAACATTTGTAAAATACTTTTATGAAATACACACGATTCTGAAAAATAAAAACCATTCAAATTTAAAACTAACATTAGTATTTAAAAATTTAATCACAATGTGCAAACAATAAATAAAGTACAATCAGAATGTGCAATGAGAATAGTCAAAGCATAAAAGTATCTTAAAAGACTTGATAGGTGTCCAGTACAAAACAGTTCAAGTTTTAACTAACACGGGGTACTACTTTATTGGTCCGATCTAATAGCAGTAGCTTGGCTAAGGTTTCATGTTGGCCTTCCTTAATGATAGTAATTTTTTGTGTGTATATATAAAATATAATTTATATATATAATTATATGATATATATATATATATATATATATATACACATTTAACGGGCCGGGCTTTTAGGCCCGCCGGGCCTATATTAGCATCCAAGCCCGCCCATAATTTAAACGGGCTCGGGCCGGGCCGGGCCGGTGGGCTAAACTATGTGTCCAAACCCGCCCATTTATATGGGCGGGCCGGGCGGGCTGGGGCGGGCCGGCCCGGTTTTGCGCAGGTCTAATTTTTGCCCACTATAGGATCAACGAGTTATATTGCTGTTTTGAAGGTGATTGACTCTAAGTTTGGTTCGAGGGTTGACGGTTGTCTGTGGTCCTTTTGTCGTTTAACTCTCTATCTGAATGCTAATGTTGTGATATCAATTTAAACCCCTTCTTCCAAAAAAAAATGTGCACTTCAATAGAATACTTATTTTAACTTCTAAATATGTAAAGTCATTAAAAAAAATTTAATAAAGATTTAGTTATTATAATTAATTAGGATTCAGTAGAATTTTAATTGTTAAAACTATTTTAAGTATTACTCCGTACTACGTATTATTAATTTATTATTGGTAAAAATAATAAAATTGAAAATACTGTTTTAATTCGTTGAAGAGAAAGTTAAATTCAACTTTAGTTCAGCCACATAATCTATTTATTACCAAGCTTTTTGTGGTGGGGACATAGACATGAGTGGATGCGAGATGGTGAGGCTGATTTTGATGTGTCACTACACACTCACACTTAATTCATGAATACACCGAAGAATGTAGTACTTCGTATAAAACTCATCAAAGTGGTCATCATGCATTCATGCAGTTCAATTGTACTCCAAAAGAATATATTCTTATTCTTATTTATCAATTTTATGATGGAATCATGAAATTCATTGATAAGTAATTCCTCCTATTACATAATGACTTGATGACAATACTTTAAAATAGTGGTTGTTTAACCGTCAAGCAGTCACACTTTTCAGAGCATCTTCAGCGGTTAGTTAATTATCTTCATAGCTTGACAAGCCACATACGCACTTGTAGCAAAATTAAAATGTACTACGTTGATTAGTTATAACACCTTCCTCTTCATTTATTAATAATAGTGTTATAATTAGTAATTCTCTTTGGTCAAACTAGTTACTCATTCTGGCTAATTAGCTTTCTCAAGCAAAAGGAAAAGCAATGTTTTAATGGTAAGCTATTGGCTTTGAAATTGCAAGCAAGTCTTCAAAAGGAACCATTGGAGATGCTCTTAGGGAGATTTTCCTATTATA